CTGTTGAACTTCTCAAGTTCAACATGCAATGTACCATTTGGGAAATACGTACAGGCTGATAAAGAAGGCTTGGACAGAACCTGACATTCTACTTGTCTAGTGAGCTCAAAGGAACACACTGGCTCATAAATCACAGGCTGACTAGCTGCACATCAGAATCACATAGGGAAGAAGAAACTTCTCTTTCCAAAAGACTTTCAATTTCTGGAGAGTAAGTATCTAGCCTTGGCCTGAGTTACTCATTCAAACATATTCACACTGGATCAACATTTTGAAGGGAATTTTGTAGTAATTATTAATTTTCATAATTGGGAGACATTAAATGGTTAAGTTCCTTAGAAATGTCGATTGTCTACTTCTTTTGCAGTACATTCATTAGACCACAGGATGGCGATAAATTAACCAAAAACTGCATCATAAACCCTATGGACTAGAAGAGCTCCTCAAAATCCTATGTCAGGCAGGTTCTAGTGGTGTCTGTAATTCTAGCTACTCAGGAGGTTGAGATATGAGAGTCATGGCTTGAAGCCAACCCTGGGCAGAAAAGCCTGTAAGACTTTATCTCCAATTTACTACTCAAAAAGCTAGAAATGGAGTTGTGGTTCAAGTAGTAGAGCAACAGCTTTGAGGAAGACAGGGCCCAGGGACAGCACCTAGTACCTAAATTCAACCACCAGAACCAGAAAAAAAAAGGAAGAAAGAGAAGATGATAGAAAGGGAAAGAAAAAGGAAAGGAAAGAGAAATCCTATGTCAGCACTTAGAGCCTGCATGACTGCTAAGTAGGAACAGTTCTCAGTTGAGGGCGTTGAAGACCACAGACTCCTTTAACAATCTGATCAAACCTACAAGGAAAGATATATACACATACAAACATCAGTACAATTTAAGGAGTTTCGTGGAAACTGAAATTCAAGGCTGAGAATAAGTCGCTGATCTTTCATGCCATCACGTCTGCATCCTTCTTAACAGCTGATCATATTGCCGGTTTCAAACACAACACAGAATAAATCTGGCCCAAATCTTACAATCTACCAGTGCAGTGCCATCTTCCTTCCATTGACATGGAATGGGCACCAATCCAATTTTACCCCAGGTGAAATCCTCCCCCTATGTTCCCAACACATCCAGGCTTCTGGCACATCCATGCTTTCTTATGTTTTCTGGTGTTAACTTTAAAAAATAATTGATTATCCTCAGTGTCAAAGTAGTATATTGCTTTATTCTTAAATATCTGAAAAAGCTTATAAAAACACAACCATGTTATGCAAACTTTTTATGATGTCAATTTGCAATCTTTCCATGATTTCACCTGCCGATATGGGTCTTAGCCAGAGATGTCCACATATGTTTCTCCTGGACACCAACTCTGGAGATTCTAATTTAGTAGGTCTGCCACGTAGGCTGGCAGACCTACTAATCATGGACCTAGAATCCAAATATGTATAAAGTCCTATCTGTGGTTTTAAAGTATAACACTAGAAATGTTCTTTTCTCTTGTGTGTGTGTGTGTGTGTGTGTGTGTGTGTGTGTGTGTGTGTGCCAATTCTGGGCTTGAACTCAGGGCATGAACACTGTCCCGAACTTTTTTGCTCAAGGCTAGTCCTCTACCACTTGAGCCACAGCCCCACTTCTGGCTTTTCAGTGGTTAATTGGAGATAAAGAGTCTTACAGACTTCCCTGCTTGGGCTGGGATCTCAGCCTCTGAGGAGCTAGGATTACAGATGCGAGCCACCAGCACCAAGCTCTAGAAATAGAATCTTAATATTTGTATTGATATACATGTGATAGAACATGTTCTAAGATAGACAATACATGGAGGTTTAATTTTTACAATGTGTGCACTTATATAGCCACCAAAATATGTGAATTTGGGGCTGTGTTTGCTGTGTGCTGGAAGGGTCCTTCCAGAGGACAGAGGGTTGAAATCTCACTTATCACATGATCACCAATCAGTTCACAAAACAACTTGTGCAGAATTTCTGTGCTTCCCAAAGATCATACCACAACCAGGTATTACAGCTTATTTTCCTTCCGTCTCCCTAGCCCTCAGCAACCACTAAGCTGTTTTCTATATCTATGAATTTACCTATTCTGGATATTTTGTCTAAGTGAAATCATTCTCTCTATATGGCCTTTTGTGGCTGGCTTCTCTGATTTTGTAGAAGACCGTCAAAGTTCACCATGCTGTAGCATGTCATACCTCCATCTCTTCTGCTCATTTTGGTTACTGTATTCTACAATTCTCCAATATAGTTCATTTTTTTCACATGTTAGATGGTTTTTATATTCTTTATATTCCCAATTTTATTTGTCTTTTGTCTCCTATTCTAACATTTATTTCTTTTTTCTCCTTCCTCCTTCCTTCTGTTTTCCTTTTGTATTTTATTGTTATTGTAGAGGTGATATATAGAGGTTACAGTTACATGAATCAACTAATGAGTACAATTTTTGGGGGGGGGTCCGGTTGTGGGGCCTGAACTCTGGGCCTGGGCGCTGTCCCTCAGCTCTTCAGCTCAAGGCTAGCGCTCTACCACTTAAGCCACAGCGCCACTTCCGGCTTTTATCTTTTTGCTTATGTGGTGCTGAGGAATCGAACCCAGGGCTTCATGCATGCAAGGCAAGCACTCTACCACAAGCCACCTTCCCAGCCCCAGTACAATTCTTTTTGAACCATATCTTCCCTTCCCTCACTCTCTCCCAGTTTTTCCCTCTTGTCCCCACCCACCAGATGTATAGACATTATATGGAAAATAATGTCTAGAAAGTACTCCTGTATTTGTTCATTTGCATTTGCTGTATTTGTTCACCCTTTGTTCCATCTTTTCTGTGCCTCCCTTACACTCCCAAAGACAAACTAACAAACAAGATGAAAGGAAAAAAAAAAACAGCAACTTTAAAAAGTATCTTGTTTCCTTTTCTTGGAGTTCATTTCATAAAATGCTATTTCCTTTGCCAATCAAGGGGCTTGAACTCAGCCTGGGCACTGTCCCTCAGCTTTTAGCTTAAGGCTAGCACTCTACCACTTGAGCCAGAGTGACACTTCTGGTCTTTTCTTTCTATGTGGTGCTGGGGAATCGAACCCAGGGCTTCATGCATGGTAGGCAAGCATTCTACCACTGAACCACAATCTCAGCCCCATAACATACTAGTTTATATGATCATATTCACATAGCTTTGAGCCTTTGTGATCTGCTCCTATGCATATCCTCCTTTGGCCTCAAAGTGTGAATATCTAGAGACGTATGTAACTTATAATGTCCCTGTGTGTGTATTATATGTATATGATATATATATATATATATATATATATATAATCATTCAGTGTATTTACTTGTAGATTTATAGGCACATTCTAGCTACCACAAAATGAGGGAAACCATGAAACCCAACCTATGTTTCTTTGGATCTGGTATATATCACTTAATTTTTTCAAGTTTTTCTATTTCCTTTTGAATGGTACAATATTATTCTTTCTGATAGATGAGTAGAATTCCATTGTGTATATATACCATATTTTCTTGATCCATTCATCCACTGAGAGGCATCTGGGTTGATTTCATATCTTGCTTATGGTTAACATTGCTGCAGTAAACATGGTTATGCTTGTTGCTTTAGTGTGGCCTTGTTTGTGCCTTCTTTTGTTTTCTTTCTTTTCTCTTTCCTTCTCTTTCTCTCTCTCTCTCTTTCTTTCTTTCTTTCTTTATCAGCCATGGGGCCTGAACTCTGGGCCTGGATGCTGTCCCTCAGTATTTCAGTTCAAGGCTAGCACTCTACCATCTGAACCTTAGTGCCACTTCCAGCTTTTTCTGCTTATCTGGTGCTGAGGAATAGAACCTAGAGCCTCATGCATGCCAGACAAGCACTCTACCACTGAGCCACCTTCCCAGCCCTCTATTTTCTTTTTTAAAGTCTGGCTCACATTTATGTTTGTGTTTTATATTTCACTTCGAATGAAAAGTCATAATTTTTAATCTATACCCTTTAAAGTTTATGCAGCAGAGACAATGGTTTTTAGCTCCTTATTATTCAATAGTGGGAGAGGTGTGGATTCAATGATCTGGAATTTCCACTTAAGCTGTCTTTCGACTATTTGGTAAGTAGTGTGTAGAAGCATGTCTAATATATGCCTGAAACAAAATGACATTATTGTTTCTCTTCTTTATTTAGAAGCTACTATTTAAGGCAAAAACCAAATATCCCAAGTTAAAAAGAGGGAGCAAAAGAACATCGTGAGTTCCAGGAATAACTACATCATTTTGGAAGGGAGGTTAAAAACCAGGTTCTATCTGTCATCTGGTGTAAGAGTTCCTCAAAGCAGGTGGAATTACTGTCTGCCCTGGGGTGCACCTGAAGTAAGAAACTGGACTCCACAGGTTGCCTTTGTACACCATTAGCAACAATAGTAGAGGGTCTGAGGGTTGAACTAAAGGAAACTAAATGTCAGAACAAATCCTAGACTTTAGCAAACTGGGCATGGAGACCCTATAATAGGGGTTCATGCTTACATGACACTAGGTAACCTTCCAGGTGACAAAGACATTAATTGAAAGGACACAGTGGAGTTGAAGGACAAGAGTCCACGTTTCTTGCCCCATTAGAAGCATTGGCCATTGATGTAGAGATGTAAGAGTGAGACTTGAAGAGTGGGCCTCCAATGGTGTACACAACACACGTTCTTCTCTTGTGATTCTCCATTCTTGCAACCAAAGAATTAAGAAAGGCTTGCGCCTGCTGAGGAGATTCCTGTAATAAATTCGGACCAACGTGGACACTCAATAGTCCAGCTAAAAAGCCGAATTAATCAGGTTTTGGTCTGCCAGGCCAATACCAAGCCCAGAAGGAGGAAACAGGCCGCTAGGCTCGCCAGCAACTAGTGACGTCAGACGTCACGGAAACGCTGATTGGAGCGATCACTTCACGCGCTCCTGGACCCGGAACTCCGGGCAGCGGGGGTGTTGCCTTGACGACGGCAGGTCGCACAGCCGAGCTGTGAGCGTCCTTCAGGGCCTGGCGGCTGCTAGGCTGAAACTTTTCACACCTGAGCAGACTTCGTACTCTGAGACCAGGCATTGTTTTTCTCTGCAGACCACTCAGCAGCAGCTGCTCTTGTCAGAACTGGTGAGTACGATGAAGCCAGGCTTTGCGATGCAGCTCCTCATTCTGAGCCAGAAATTCAGCAGAAATTTCTATGCATAGTAGTAAAGGCACAGCGAGGCAGAGAAAGTTCCTGGAAATGCATTTCAGTGATTATCCAGTATTGAGAGGAGTGGAAAGTAAGGAGATACAGTAAGGGACGTCCTGGATCTCACAGCAGTGGTCAGATCTAAGCCTGAGTTATTCACTATGAGGTTCTGCATTACATGCTCTAAATGTACACTGGAGTTTGAAAGTATAGTAGTACCAAAAACAAATCATAGTTATGACTTTTATACTAACAATCTGTTAATGTAACAGGTTGGATATGTTAGATAAAACACAAAATTAATTTCAGCCTGTTTTGTTTATTGTGTTTACTTGAAAAGTTTTAATGACAAAGGAGGTTCCCAAATTTCTGTTGACCAATTCTGAGCTAGAGTAAACCTGGGTTTGTCTCTCCACCATACACACTCTCATAATACCTGAGTAACCTTCAAAATAATGTTATAGCACAAGAGGGTTTAAAGCAGCAAGACCACTACAAAAAGCTCATAATTCTAATGTTTTAGGACATTGATAAAATCTTAGTGTATGAAAATGTGTGAATCAGAATATGCACTTTAACAATCGCTTTCAGTGATTATCCTACACATACAAGCACAAACTCTGTTTTAGGAGTTGATCTTAAATCCTCCCTCCCTCCCTCTATTGTTTTTTGCTTTTATTATTGTTGTTGTTGCTTGGTTGTTTGGGAGGGTGGAGTGTGTGTGTGTGTGTGTGTGTGTGTGTGTGTGTGTGTGTGTGTTGTGCATGCCAGTCCTGAGGCTTGAACTCAGGTCCTGGGCACTGTCCATGACACTTCAGATTCAAGGCTAGCCAGCTACCATCTGAATTCAGCTTCATTTCCGGCTTTTCAGTGGTTAATTGGAGATAAGAGTCTGGTGGAAGCCTGGCGCTGGTGGTTCACTCCTGTAATCCTAGCTACTCAGGAGGCTGAGATCTGAGGATCACAGTTCAAAGCCAGCCAGGAGAAGGAAAGTCTGTGAGACTCTTATCTCCAATAAACCACTAGAAAACCGGAAGTGGTACTGTGGCTCAGCGGTAGAGCGTTAGCCTTGAGCTGAAGAGTTGGGGGACAGCCCTCAGGCCAGAGTTCAAGCCCCATGACCAAAAAAAAAAAAAAAAAAGAGTCTGGGGGACTTTCCTGGCCAGCTGGCTTGGAACCATGATCCTCAGATCTCAGCCTCCTGAGTAGCTAGGATTTCAGGTGTGAGTCACCTACTCCTGGCTCAAATTACCTGCTTTTTTTTTTTTTAATTAAGAGCCTCAGAAAGTGTTTTGCATACTCGAATCTGGGAAATTGATCTCCATAGCATCCTTTTAATTCTAGGTTATCATGACTCCCAGATCATCAATGTAAGGAAATTTAAGGAAACTGAGTGATGATGGTATCAAAAGTAAAGAAAGAGCAGACGGCAAACTCAACAGACCAATAGACTTTATTTAGGAGTGAAGCCTGGGAAAGGCGGCCTAGTCTCCTCCAGCTATTGGCTAAAAGAGAAATAGTACACACACACACACACACACACTTACAACTAGGGTCTCTGAATATTAGGCAGAAAGAGCGAAGGGGGGCAGATGGAAGCAGAGTGAGATGGAGATAGGGTGGGTATGCAATGACTGAAGAGTTTCGAGGTCTCAGCAGCATCTGTGTTCATTAGGGGCATCAGCATCAGACGTGGCCTTGGGCTCAGGCTCTCTTCCAAGACTGCTGGTGCCTTTGTTCAAAGGGGGGGGAGTTGATTCAGCAGGGTCATTCATTGGCACAGATGGTTCTAAGCTATGGCTGTACAACGGAAGGTGAGTGCTTTCAGTTGAAGTCATTTTCCATCATTCCTGATGTTGGAAAAGCATAAGAAACAAGGGAAAAAGGGTGCCTGTGTTTTGTCTGGCTATTTCCTGCTGATGTTGGGGTGAGGAGAGGGGGTCAGAGTCAGGTCTTAAACTTTTGAACAGAAAAACATGGCTTTGATAGGCTCTTGGGTTACTGTCTGAGAGAGAGCTGTTATGCAATTGGTCAGGAACTTCTCTGTGGGTCTGAGTTGAATGCTACAAGGATTAAATCTGCAATTACAAAAGACTTATGAGTAGTTAACATTGGAAGTTTGAAACAACTTATTAAACAATTTAGTTACTTCCACTGCATACGAATTAAGACTGACAGCATTATAGATGCCACTAGGTCTTTTACAAGAAGGAACACATGGATATAGGCTTGCTTGATCTTTTTTTCCAGCTTTGTATCCAAGGTAGCTTATATATTTGGGGAACAGAGATATTAGTAACAATAGTTTTTAATCACAGACAATTGCATGTCAATTTTACTGTTTTATAAGCTCTGTCTTATAAAACTCAACATATACACCAGCTTCTACTTATAGTATCTGCTACTTACTTAAACTTCCTATGGTTTGTCTTAATTTCTCCCTTCTGAACAAACATTTAAGGTAATTCTTACTTCCCAAATCCTTTCTTATTTAAAGTCAACCAATTTTCTGTTTCCTCAGTTCTGTTTCTAAGGTCTTTAAACTGTTTTATAAGCGCTGTCTTATACTACTCAAGACATACCTTTTCCTTTTTATTTCCTTATCTCCTTACTGATTTTTTCTTTAATCTGTATTTTGAGATAACTCTTAGAAAATTTTTAATACTTAAATCACATAGTTTTAGAAGACATCCTGTATTTATGCCACCATAAAGAGAATCTCCAATTTTAAGCATTCATAGGTAACTGGGAACAGAATAGAACACACCTTTGTTAGCAAAGCTTTCTGGCTAATACAGCAACTCAGTACAGCTGGTGATAAACCTCAACGGAGCCACAACTTTCAGCAACATCTGTGATGAACTGCAAAGCTGCCAGCCTAGCGACCTTGAGAGAGAGAGAGTGTGATGTTATTTGGCTTTTTACTTAGTGTGGCACTGAGGCTAATGGAGAAACGGAGGCAAATTCCAGAAATCTGTAAATTTGACCCTTCACTACAAGAGAGAAATTAAAAAGAAATTAAGAATCCAGATACTGAAGTGAGTAGACTGAGGATGGATAAAAGGAATGGGTTATTGTCTGATCCCACAGACACACAAAAGGAAGACAGGTTTGTTTGGGGGTACGTTATCTGTCCATCTGCTCCCATTATGGGATTTTTGTTTGGGAGAAGAGGACCAAGCCGTTCAAGTAAGAGAGGGAGAAAGAAAACTCCAGCATGTTTGTCAAGTCAGCCACTATCCCAGTGATAGGGGGAGCCCTAGCTGGGGGCTAAGAAAGCCAGGCACCCTCATTCTAGCTGGAGGAGGGGGAACTCTGGGTGTGGTTGTGCGGAGGAGCGAGAGCTTCACTTCTGAGGACAGTCCATTTTCTTTTCCAGTATCACTGTGCACCACAAAGTGGACAAGGCTTAGAAGGGGGACTGTGGGTTGGGACAAGCTTTTGTCCAGTGTCTATCTTTGCCACAATGGAAGCAGCAACTAGGAGGAGCAAACAAACCAGAAACCCCTCCGGGGTGGTCTGGCACAGGGCAGTCTATTTGGGGGTTGCATGGCAGAAGCTGGGAGTTGCTATCTGACTTTCAGTCTCCTTTTCCTTTTTAAATTTAGTAGGATTTTCTGAAAAGCTGTCGAGCCTCTCTTCAATTTCAAGATATGTCTTGAAGCAGTATCAGCATTTCTCAGGTGCTTGTTAGAAATAAAAATTCCAGTCCCAGCCCAGGGATCTTTGAAGCTCAGACACAGTACTTAATTTTCATCACGCTGGGACAAGCTTAGTTTTCTTTGGGGGAAGTAAAAGAGCTCTCACTAGTTAAGTCTCCCTCTTCTACATATCATCCTCCCCCAGTTCTTTTGCTCCACTTTTCATTTTTCTTTTTTTCTTTTCTTATCCTTTGCAGGAGTAAGAATGGCTTATCAGGCCACAGATAGTGAAATCGACCTGAAAAAATTGGAAGATCTTGTAGCACATCCTGACTTTTCAAAAACTTATGGCTCAAAAGCAAGGGAAAGACTGAATTCTGTAAAGCCCTCAGAAATTGAGTCTGAGAAACAGACTGTGACATTTAGGCGCACCACGAAAGCTCAGGAGAAGACAAGAAAACGACAGCAGCCTGTAAAACTAGAGCCTCTGGTAAGGAGAAGGATGGGTGGAAAGGAAGGAAAGAGAGAAGGAGGAAGGAAGGGAAGAAGAGAGGAAGGAAGGGAGAGTGGAAGAAGAGAGGGAAAAGAAGGGAAGGGAGGCATTTTGGCAACTTTTTAGCTACAAAGGAAAGTTACACTATATCTTTAGGAGATGGATATAATTTGTTGGTAAAGTTGTAAACACTATAGACATTTATTTAACAGATACTAAGTTGGGAAATACAGTGATGAGCTGAATTTTTAGTGGACAAACTCTCCTGTGGGAAACACAGATACTTAACTATATAAATTATGGGGCTCCTTTAGATCATAGGGTACGTTCCATGCTGGGAACCCCAGTAAAAGTATGTATAGTTACAGGGTTTTTTAAAAATTCAAAATATATGATTGGTGTCCAAAAAATGTTTTGTATGTCTGAAAATACTTTAAAGAACCATTTGTGTCCTTTGATAATTATATAGACCTGTAAAAGAACAGTAAACATGTACAAAATAAAAAGTGAAAGTTCTTATCCCTTCACCTCAGATATGTATTAGTGGCTGTGTGTTCTTCAGACTATTATGTATTTTTCTTCAAAAATACTAACATATGAGTCTAGAAATATATAATTTAAAGTAAGATTATACAATAAATACTTTTTCTGATCCATGATCCATACATGTAGTATCTTTTGTTTTTCTTTTTTGAGGTAGAGACTTACTAAGTACCCCATTCTGATTTACAACTCCTGGTTCTCCTGACTCAGACTCCTAGGTACTAGAATTACAGGTGTGCACTACCATACTCATAGGGATCTTTTCTAACAGTGTCACTGTATTTTGTTGCATTAATGTGTCATTAAGTGGTCTCCTATTAATGAGAAATCACATTCTTATTCCTCCAAAGCCATTTTTAATTATTTTTATTTTGAATTGGCATACATTGTAATATGAAAGGATTTCATTGTGGTATTTCCATGTATGTACTTAGAACAAATTCACCACCTCCACCATATTCCCATTCCTTCCTTCATCTCCCATATATAAACATTTGGTAGGATTCATTATGCTGTGCACACACGCATACACGCACATGCACACACACACACACACACACACACACACACACACAAACAACATCCTTCAGTCTTCATCACCTCTTAAACTCCTTTTCTCCCTCCCACTGATAGCCTGCCATGCAACAACTCCCCTTTTATATTCGCATCTCATTACCATTATCTTTTTTGTTTGTTTGTTTTGTCAGTCATGGGGCTTGAACTCTGGGCCTGGGCACTGTCCCTCATCTCTTCAGTTCAAGGCTAGTGCTCTACCACTTGAACCCCAGCACCACTTCTAGTTTTCTTGTGGTTAATTGGAGATAAGCGTTTCATGGACTTTCCTGCTTGGGCTGGCTTTGAACCATGATCCTCAGATCTCAGCTTCCTGAGTAGCTAGGATTACAGGTGTGAGCCACTGGCATCTGGCTACCATTACTATTATATAATTATTATTATACTCATCATCAACATCATTTTAGTTCTATACTCTAAAACTGAGCAAGAGCATGTGATTTTTGTCTTGTTAGACAAATATCAATCTGTGTTCCTGAAAATGATATAATTTTGTTTTTACTTATGAATGAAAAATATCCTATGGTGTATGTGAATACATTATATATACACATGTATACATATATGTATACATTGTGTGTATATTATTGTGTATATATATATATTAGATGCATATATATTATGTATATATATACATACATGCATACATGAGCTGCAACAATATGTAGATGTATTTCTTTCCTTCAGAACTACATCCAAGTTAGGGTAGGGTAAGGTTATAAAGTAGGTCAATTGTTAGTTCTTAGAGGAACTTTTATACTGATTTCCATAATGGTTGTATTAGTTTGTATTTCACCAATACAGTGTCCTTGCCAACTTTTGTGTGTGTGCATGTATGCACGCACACGCATGTAATTGACATGACTGGAGTAAGATAGAATCTTATATAGTTTTGATTTGCATTTCCTTTGTAGCTAAGAATCTTGAATATTTCTTTATGTATTTACTAGCCATTTGTATTTCTTCTGAGAACTATTCAATTCATTTAGTTGGATTCATTTGTTTATTTATGAGATTATGTATTCTTGTGGTTTAAGTTTTTAACTCTTTTTTTGGGGGGGTCCTGTCATGGGGCCTGAACTCTGGGCCTGGGTGCTGTCCCTCAGCTCTTCAGCTCAAGGCTAGCGCTCTACCACTTGAGACACAGTGCCCTTCTGGCTTTTTTCTTTTTGCTTATGTGGTGCTGAGGAATCGAACCCAAGGCCTCATGCATGCAAGGCAAGCACTCTACCACTGAGCCACCTTCCCAGCCCTAAATTTTTTTTTTTGGGTCCGGTCGTGGGGCGTGAACTCTGGGCCTGGGCGCTGTCCCTCAGCCCACTTGAGCCACAGCGCCACTTCCGGCTTTTTTCTTTTTGCTTATGTGGTGCTGAGGAATTGAACCCAGGGCCTCAGGCATGCAAGGCAAGCGCTCTATCACTGAGCCAACTTCCCAGCCCATCAGCCCTAAATTTTTAACTGTATACACTCTGAATGCTAATCCTCTATTCATTGAATAACTGGAAAAGATTTTTCTCCTGTGCTCTGAGTTGTCTCTGCTATTCACAAACTTTTTAATTTGATATAGTCTGATTTTGCCATTCATGCTCTTATTTCTTGGGTAATTTGAGTCCTGTGTCTGTACTTCTAGAGTTCCTCCTAGGTTTCCCTGTAACAGTTTTAGTTTCTGGTCTTTCATTAAGATATTCGATCCATTTGGAGTTGATTTTTGTATAGGGTGAGAGATAGGGGTGTCTAGATTCAGTCTTCTATATGTGGATATTAGGTTTGCTGAGCACCATTTTTTAAGAAGTTATCTTTTTTCCAGCATACATTTTTGGCTCTTGTCGACAACTAGATGGCTAGAAGTGTGTAGGTTCATTTCTGGATCTTCTAGTCTGTTCCATTGTACATGTCTTTTTGTTAGTATCATGCTTTTTTAATTACTATGGCTTTCTCTAATATCATTTGATGTTTTATATTCTGATAACTTCATCATTGTTCCTTGTTTCTTGGGATTACTTTTGCTACTGAGGCCTTTAATATGAATTTACTACTGTCTTTTTATCTCTGCAAAGAATACCATTGGAATTTTTATGGGTATTATATTGAATTTGTAGATTGTCTTTAGCAATATGACCTTTTTCACCATATTAATTCTGCCAATTTGTGAACTTTTGGAAGTTCTTTCTTTAAGATTTGATTGTTTTTATTGTAGAGATCCTTCACTTCCTTGATTAAGTTTATTCCTAAGTGTTTTTTAGGTTATTGTGAACATAACTATTCTCCTAATTTCTCTCTCATCTTGTTCATGTTGATATACAGAAAAGCTACTGGTTTTCATGTGTTGATTTTATATGCTACAACATTGCTGAAGGTGTTTATCAGCTCTAGGAGTCTATAGGGACCTTTAGATTCATGGGTCTTATCATGTTTAAATAGGAATAATTTTACTTCTCCCTTCCCTATTTGGATCCTTTTTATTTGTCTTGCCCATTGCTCTGTCTAGGAATTCTGGCACAATATTGAACAGGAAAATGGACACTCATGGTTTGTTTCTTATTTTAGAGGTGCTGATTTCAAGTTTTTTTCACTATTAAAGATGATGTTGACTATAAGTTGGTCATAATACAACCTTTATTATGTTAAGGTGAATTGTTTCTATTCCTAGCTAATTCAGATAATGAGTTTGCCAGTCTTTTTTACATCAGGTTGGTTATATGCTTCTGGTACTTGATTGTGTTTGTGCTGTATTACGTTTATTGATTTACACTGTTGAGCCGATATTGCCTAGCTGGAATAGAACTCATTGGTTGTGGTATGCAACCCTTTTGACTAGTTGTTGAATTAGATTAGCAAGTATTTTATTGAGAATTTTTGTGTCTATGTTCATCAAAGAGAGTAGTCTAGTCAGGCGCTGGAGGTTCACACCTGTGATTTTAGCTGCGCAGGAGGCTGAGATCTGAGGATCAAGGCTCAAAGCCAGCTTGGGAAGGAAAGTCCATGAGACTCTTATCTCTAAATAACTACCAAAAAAATCCTGAAGCATTATGTGACTCTAGTGATAGAGCATTAGCCTTGAGCAAAAAAATCAAGTAGTAGAGCACTAGCCTTCAATAAAAAAAGCTAAGGGACAGTAGCCAGCCCCTGAGTGCAAGCCCCAGTACTGGCACAGAGAGAGAGAGATAGAGAGAATTTGTGTATAACAGAGATCAGTCTATGGTTCTCTGTTGTTTTTGTTGTTATTGTTGTATCCCTAACTTGTTTTTAAATAAATATAATGCTAGCTTTATAGAATCTGTAAGTAATCTCTCCCTTTCTATTTCATGGAAAATTTGAGAAATGGTATTGTTCTTTTAAAGCTCTTGTAGAATATAGCTACTAATCTGTCAGGTCTGAGAGTTTTTGTTGGGAGAGTATTTTTGTTTCACTCTTCTCAATTGCATTGATCTATTTAGGTGGATTATTTTCTCTTGGTTTAATTTTTTTGTATATTAGGTTGATGCTATCTAGAAATGGTCATTTCCACTAGATTTTCCAGTTTAGTTCAATAAATGTTGTTAAAGGATTCCTTCATGATTTTATTGTTATGATATCCCCATTGTAATCCTTAATTTTATTTGTTTGGGTAATTTCTCTTTTGCTTTTGGCCAGACTGGCTAATAGCTTGTCAATTTTATCTATGTTTTTCACTAATCAACTTTTGTTTCATCAATTTTTTATGTAGGTTTTTGTCTCTATTTTATTGATTTCTGCCCCTAATGTCTTCTGTGCTTTCTGTGGTATAGATATTGTTATTTGAATACTTCTTCTCATAATAGAGTGATAGCAAATGGTGAAGGTTTGTCACAGATAATTAGGAAGTGTTGTGGCTTCATGCCTCTGAGGTTTTCTCAGATAACATTACTTCTAAGTATTCATTGATAAAGTTTAAAATTATTGGAATTCAAGTAGAAAAATCTCACTTAATTTATAGGTCAGGAATGGACAATAGTGGTAATTGCTGTTAAGATTGTATGTTTGGCCGGGCGCTGGTGGCTCACGCCTGTAATTCTAGCTACTCAGGAAACTGAGATATGAGGATCGTGGTTCAAAGCCAGGCCGGGCAGGAGAGACCATGAGACTCCTATCTCCAATAAACCACCAGAAAACCAGAAGTGGCGCTGTAGCTCAAGTGGTAGAGTGCTTGCCTTGAGCTGAAGAGCTGAGGGACAGTGCCCAGGCCCAGAGTTCAAGCCCCACGGCCGACAAAAAAAAAAAAAAATGTATGTTTGATAGGAGATTAGTACAGGGAGATCAAATTCCAATGGTCCAGTAGTAGTGAAGATTAACACAAGTTCACACTAATACTAATAAGTTTATTCCATTTCCCAAAGCCAGTGTTAAAACAATACCAAGATCACAAGCAGCCGGAATACATATTTGAACAGAACCGGTATCAGTTAATGACTTATGGAGTCCTTAAACCATCAGCAGTAGAAAGAGATTCTAGCAAATCAATTTCTACAGAGGCTGAAGATGCTGTGAGAAAAAAGAAGGTATGATGTTAAGATAATTAGTCCTTTTAATTTAACTCTAGTTTTATATAGCATTGTTAATATGATTGTAACTTAAATGGTAACAGAATCTCTTTACCTCTCCCTCCCTCTCTCTCCCCCCTCTCCCTTCCTCCATATCTCTCTCTTCTTCCTTCCCCCCTCTCTCTGTCTCTGTCTGCCTCTGTCTCTTTGTCTCTGTCTCTCTGTCTCTCTCTGTCTCTCTGTCTCTCTGTCTCTCTCTCTTTACCTCTGTCTCTGTCTCTTTCTCTGTCTCTCTCTCTCTCTCTCTCTCTCTGGGCTTGAACTCAGAACCTAGGCACTGTCCCTGAACTTTTTTCTTCCAGGCTGTCACATTACCACTTGAGCCACAGTGCCACTTCCAACTTTTCTGGTAGTTAATTGGAGACAAGGTTCTCATTGGCTTTCCTGCCCAGGCTGGCTTTGAACCATGATTCTCAGATTTCATTCTCCTAAGTAGCTGGGGTTTCAGGTCCACTGGCACTGCTACTGGCACCTGGCTAGAATCATTTTTTAGAGGTGGCTTGGGAAGTACATTTCAGTTGTTCCTATTTAAGGAACACCACACAGTAAAGGAGAAATCATAAAGGAAGTTTCTATCATTTGTATCATGCCTTCTGACCAGCTCTTGCATGTCAAAAGAAGTTGAAACAATGTATAGAAAGTTATAGAATTATTTTATATTTTAAAATAATTTTAAGAAAAATAAAATACAGCAAATGAGCTCAAGAGACAACTTTTGTAGCTTGTCAGATTGTAGAGGGGGAATTTACCTTATAAGATATAAACAGACCGTGAGAGGAGAGGAGCAATCAGAAGAGTGTGGCTTTAAATGATCATCTTTATAAGTTAAAGAAAGAAAGAGAAGTGGGAGAGACAGACAGTTTCAATAAAGGTAGCAATAGAGCCAAGATTTCTCTGGGTTTTGATTAGAAGATCCTTGGAAGCTCACTGAACATTTTGGTTTTGATCATTATGCTACAGTGCTAAAAATGCAGAGTTAAGGACAAAAGGATTTTATGAGGATTTCAGAGTGTGGAAGTAAGTAGGAGGATAGACGAATACTCAAAATGGTGTTTGGTGTTAACAATTATTGCTCATTTCAAGTATAAAATGTTGATGAACTAAATTGCACTAATCTCAGAGGAGTAAGTTAAAGATTACTGAGATAAACCAGGTGGGAGTCGTTAGGACTTAAGGCTATGGATAGAACTTACCATAGATTTGGTTGAGACCTTCCTGCAAGATGAAGTCAGATGATAAATTATTGGAATTGTAGAATTTCAATAAATACCACCTCTATGAAAGGAAGAAAGAGAGAGGGAGAGGGGGAGAGATAGAGGGAGGGAAGGAGAGAGAGGGAGAGTGTTTATGTGTGTTATATGGAGTCCGAAAAGATTTGATTGCTCATGAATTGATTCATTTTGTATAAAATGAGCTTTAAGAGAGAGATTGTATGAGCTTCTTGGATGAAAAGGAGAGCTGAGCTGCAAAGGAATGTTGTGGACTGTTTCCTAGTTTTAGTTTTCACACCAGTGAAGAGTTCAATGATATGTTAGTGGTTATAGTGAAATGTGAGAAAAAAGGACATTTCCATACAAAAGGAGAAGAATATTCTGAGGAGAGGATCGTTTTTTGCCAGGTATTGATTTCTCAGAAAAAAGTTTACAATGGAAATGTAACAATGAAGATTTCCTGGTAAAGGGAGGAAGAAAGAAATGAAGGGAGAGTGGGAGAAGGAAGGAAGAAAAGAAGGAAGGGAGGGAGGAAGGGAGGGAGGAAGGGAGGGGAAGGGAAGGAGTGAGGGAGAGAGGAGAGGAGAGGAGGAAAGGGAAGAAGGAGGAGAGTAGAAGGGGGAAGGGAAAGGATAAATTTTCTGAAAAATTAAAGAAGATACTAATCAAATTGGACTAGGCATCCATCAGAGAGGAGTTCTACAAGTATACGTAAGTGCTTCCTTTATTCCTCACCCTAGTCTGAATATATGTGATGGCTAAATTGAATCATATCATCCAAATGAATTATGTAATTACAAGTGAAGAGATCTTACCCTTGGAGTAAAAACTTTTTAAAAGGTGTGATAAAGAAAATCAATATATTTTCTGGTAAAATACTCATATTCATCTTATAAAAACATGAAAGTGAGCCGGGCGCTGGTGGCTCACGCCTGTAATCCTAGCTACTCAGGAGGCTGAGATCTGAGGATCATGGTTCAAAGCCAGCCCGGGCAGGAAAGACTGTGAGACTCCTATCGCCAATAAATCACCAGAAAACTGGAAGTGGCACTGTAGCTCAAGTGGTAGAGCGCTCGCCTTGAGCTGAAGAGCTGAAGGACAGCGCCCAAGCCCAGAGTTCAAGCCCCACGACTGACAAAAAAAAAAAAACATGAAAGTGGACTTCAGCCTTTGTTGAAACCTTGAGACAAGGTGAATTGCTTTATCTCTAGTTCTGGGCATCAGGTTTGGCCTGCTCTTTCACATCAGAGAACAGTGGTCATGCTGCTGCTACGGTGGCTGCTGCTGCCACCTCTCTTGGCTGGAGGAAGTGTGTTTTATCTTGAGCTCCAAGACTACTGCTCACAAGTTACTATGCAGCAAGATACATTTAACCAGCAAGAGAATAAAGACCTCCTTGAATACTAACTTTCTGTTCTGTAGAACCTGTGGTACTCAATCTCTTGCAGAAATGGCAGCCTCTATCAGCAATAGAGTGATCATTTACATATTTACATTATTACACTTACAGGCACCTTGTGTCTGCTAGACACAAATCTTGACAGTTTTACTAGTGGTCAAATTTCCTTGAGTGAAGTGAATAATCTCCAGAGAGCTAGTAGTTTTGAAATGTAAGAAGCATGGAGTTAAAGGAGGTGGGGGGCAATAGGAGCTGACTCTGGGATTGTTCTGTGGGAAGGGGCTGGGTATCTGAGTAGAGAGCACTAAGGAGGAGTCCACTCTCTAACACTGAGTTGATATATCTCAGTTTCAAGATGCTTGCCCTGAGGTTGATATTCTGTCACCACCACCTGCCTTTTTTAATTAAAAAAAAAACTCATTTTTAAAACATTGGCTTTGTTTAGCTTTATCGGCCCTCTGAAGATATATATTCTCCTCCCCCTAAACTGTCACGTACGAGGATCGGAAGAAGAGGTCTCTTCGGGGCCACATCTGCAACTTACCCAAAGTTACATTTCCAAGACCGGGAAGAAGTTATTAAAGCCAACATTCGTGATCCCTTGCAAATCATTAAAATATTACAGGAGAACGAACATCTAGGATTTCTTTACGTGGTCCCTGCAGTGTCAAGGTCTTCCATTGAGTATGACACATATAACCTAAAGTGAGTTCACTTTTATAAAGCAATTTATTTAATATTAAAAATTACAGATGATGGTAAAGATTGTTTAGACTTGAGCATAATTAAATGCAATAAAAATAATTTTTATTCTCTTTCAAGGATAAATGAGTTCTAATCTTAGCAATTTTATTTATTTTCCCATATACCTTTATCTGTTTACAAAATATATGGTTGTGCTTCTCATTTATTTATTTAATGTTGTACCAACTATTTTGAATAGACATTAACTTTAGTAGACATACTAGTTTTAGAATCCAAAGGGAAAATAGAAGTGAAATGGAAGAAACATTAGAGACAAAAGAATTATGGGTTTTGTTTTTTGTTTTTGTCAGTTGTAGGGCTTGAACCCAGGGCCTGGTGCTGTCCCTGAGCTTTTCTGCTCAAAGCTACTGCACTACCACTTTGAGCCACTGCTCCACTTCTGGTTTTCTGGTGGTTAATGGAGATAAAAGTCTCACAGTTTTTCCTGCCCAGGCAGGGTTCAAACTGTGATCCTCAGATCTCAGCCTCCTGAGCAGCTAAGATTATAAGCATGAGCCACCAGCACCTGGCTTGAGAGTTGTTGTTTTTTAAAGATAAGACTAATAGTCATTTTTTTTAATGGGAGACATAGCACATCCTGAGATTTTTATGGCCTTTAATATAGAGAGTAGTTTTAGTATTTAATACTTAAATGATATTACTATTCTTACTACTACCTTACTATGTCTAAAAGAGTTCCTTATCAGTTTTTGGAGAAGTCAAGATCTTAAATGGAGAATAATGGAAAAATGGTTTACTTGCTGATCATAAAAGCACACATCCTAATTCATGTATGAAAATATTTTCATAGTTTTGACTTTTGAAAGAGAGTTATTCAGTAACCCAGATAACAAGGAGTGCTAATTGGAGTGCTTATTCCAAAACTGCAAATAGATTTACAAAATGTAAAATTTGGACCAGCCCCACATGAAGTCTTAAATGGGAAACAGGAACTATGTTTACTTCTAGAAATGTGTTATATTTCTGGACTAATAAGTGCATCTACTAGAGGAGCTGAGTTATGGTTTTTTTGGGGGGGTGTCTTGTAGGAATGGTACTTGATAGTAATCCACAAAGGTCTCTTAAAAACCGTACATTGTCAGACTCATCCTACTTCATTAAACCTAAAATAGTTTTTTTTTTACTATAGACCCTCTGAGAAAACAATTCCATTTGCCATTTATTCTAAAGACTCAACTTTGTGTTATGTGTTAGGCATTAACAATTGTTTTAAGAATAAGCTTCAGGGAGATGTCCAAGTATGTTGGCATATCACCCTGGGAAATATATAACTACGTGTTGTAGATCATCTTGCCCAGTCCAGGAACTCTATGAGTAACTCTGCTCAAAGATCAGAAATCTAGGGAGATCACAGTGTAGAGAACAAAGAATTGTGTTGGCTAAAGCAAAGTTAGGTCTATTTCATTGGCACTTGAACCTTGAACAAGAATGATAGTAATTGTTGGTACTCATGTGATATAGGGGAAGGATGTTGGCTAGACAGCTGGGTCATGCACCTACTTCGTGAGAAGATACAAAGCAGGCCATCATGCTCCACATGGCTAAAGCATCATGATTTGATGGTCTTCATTATGTTCTCAATACTCAAAAGCATTTACATATATTAAATTATTTCACCTTCACAACACTACTGCAAGATAGATCCAAGTATTATCTCTGTTATAAATGAGGCGCAAATGGTGAAGTAATTTACCTTGGAGCAGGAGAGCACCACAAATATGTGATAGAACAATTTGGATTTAATGACAAAAGCCAGACGAGGCTAACCAAAGTCCCTAGGCAGAATAGTCCTTTGAAACAACTCATCCTTCAGTGAAACTAGTGTAGTAGACTAGTTTAACAATGAACCAAGGCATTTCCCACTACTAGAGGAGGGTCACAGAAATACTCTGAAATAACAGACCACACTGATGCATTATTGCTTTGCAAACCAAAGAATTAATTCCAGGAGGAATTTGGGGATTTTTTTTGGGGGGAGAGGGTTGTTTTGTTATATTTTGTTTTTTTTTTAGAACTTCAGTAAATTCACTTTGAGTTATTTCTGAAGTGAAAAACGGCAATTTATAATTACTACCACAAACACATGCAACTCTCTCATTCTATGGAATTCTCTTAAATAAGATACATATCCTTTGCAAAGTTCATAGGAACCTTCAAATCTAAATTTCATTTCAAATGGACAGAAAGAGGTTCTGTATTTAAATCATTTGGACAATTAGAAATCACAGCAGGGATTTTTCCAGTAATGTGACAATAGTTAGATGTAATTTTATTTAAGATTTTCAGTCTGATTCATTAACTTGCTAAAGATTTCTGATTAGTTAATCTTATCAGCAAAGTAAGAACTTTACACTGGATTTTCAAAAGAGATCAAGAAAACTTAAATTTTCTGATTATTTCCTCAAAGAAAGACCTGAACGAAATGAACATCCAAAACAACTATCTAGCAGGTAGCTGAAACTTCAATCCTGAGTGCTGCTAAAACTTGCTGCTTGGGCGAGTAACATCATGAGGATATAATTTCCTGTTACTGGAGAACTCTGGAAACTGTTGAATGCTGCAAGGCAGAATAGGCCAAGTGAAGCATAGAAGTCTATGGAGCAGATTGGAGAAGTGACCTCTCAACACTAGACTAGAGACTGGGCATGTGGCGTAGTGGTAGAGTGCTTACCTAGTAATCATGAAGCCCTGGGTTCAATTCCCTAGTACCACATAAACAGAAAAAGGCGGAAGTGGCACTGTGGCACAAGTGGTGAAGTGCTAGCCTTGAGCAAAAGAAGCTCAGGGACAGTGCCCAGGCCCTGAGTTCCAGCCCCAGGATGGGCAAAACATAACAAAACAAAAAACAATAGACTACAAAATCTATAGGAAATAAGATTACAGGAAACTAGCCCAGTACCAGGGGCTCCCACCTGTAATCCTATCTACTCAGGAGGCTGAGATCTGAGGATTGTGGTTTGAAATCAACCAAAGCAGGAAAGGCTATAAGATCTTATCTCCAATTAACCACCAAAAACTGGAAGTGGCATTGTGGTTCAAAGTGGTAGCGCTTCAACCTTGAGCAAAAAAAGCTCGGGATAGTGCCAAGTCCCTTAGTTCAAGTCCCAGGACTGACAACTAAAAAAGAGTCTCACAGTTTCCTGCCCAGGGTTGGCATCAAACTATGATCTTAGCTTCCTGAGTAATTAGGATTACAGGCATGAACCACCAGTGCCTGGCTGATGTTTAACCTGGAAATCTAGAGGTTTAGCAAGCATCCCAGATGATACGTATGTTGATATTATCTTGGAAAAGGTCTTACATATATTCATTTGTCCTATGAAGAGTAGAAACGAAGCAAGGGAAAGGCTTTGAGTTTTAATAATGAATATCTCAAACGGAAATAGCATTTCTAAGTGGGATTGAACATCAACATGAAGAACACCATGGACCCCATCTGCCATCACTGTCAGTAGAAAACAGACTACACAAAGTAAGTTTTCCAGACAGGCACCAAGGCCATGGTCAGCTGTTTGCTCTCATTTTGGTTTGATGTCTGATGTTAATGAAACATCTGAAATCAATTATGATTTCAGTGGCAAGTTAAAGTTTCACGTTTTGGAAAGAAGCACTCCAAGAATAATATCTGGTTATGTCCAAAAATGAAAAAAAAAAAACATCTCAAATGGTGGCCATCTACCTCACAACACCATGAAATTTTCCCCAGACATTTCTAGTGTTGATTTAATTAGAGCACAGACAAAAGGTGTCAGCCAATGGAATCAGGTAAAAGCAAAGCAGGTGAAAGACCTTCTGGTGTAGCGCTGGACCAGCCCCTCACTTGCTCTCCACAGCACTTCTTGTGTGCTCACGACAGTTCTTAATTTCAGTTTGCTTTCCTTCTAGTCCTAGATGGTCCAGATTCTAAAAATTCTTCACTTTTGTTAAAACAAAAAAAAATAGACTAACAGTGATTTGTGCCAGTTGTTCTTAGCTTATTGATTAACGGGCTTAAAGAATATGAGATTTTATCCCAATCCCTAAAAATGGATGATACATCTGTACGTGAATTTGTTGTATGCAATTTAGGAATCTTACCAATGGCCCGAAAGATGTTCTAAAAGTCCAGGAACAAAGCTGTTCATTTCACACAATGAAATGAAACATATATTTTAACTTAATTTGGGTCTTCTAATCCTATCTAATTCATGTTTTCTTCTCTCATGATCCTGTCAAATCTGAAACAATTAAAGTTTCTATACTAAATATAAACTCAGTTCCAGGTTCCTCTCATACAGGACTATTAAGTTCAAAATATCTATAATAGAGTTATTTTATTATAAAGTTCATCTAACTGCAATGATCAGTGATTTTGCCAAGCCCAGCTGTTTCAAAACAGTTGCAACAATAAAATTATGTATTTAAAAATGTTTTAAATGCTGCACAGCCAGGTGTCTGTGGCTCACATCTGTAATCCTTGCTAACATACGGAGAATCGTGGTTCATTGTCAGAAAACTCTTTGAGATTCCATATCCAAAATAACCAGCAAAAAGCTGGCTGGAGATGCAGCTCAAGTTGTGAAGTGCCATCTGAACAAGCTGAGCAATCATGGGGGCCTTTGAGGGCCTGTATCAGTGAAAGCAAGGAAAAGGGAGAAGGAGAGGGAGAAGGAAAGGGAGAAGGAGAAGGAGATGGAGAAGGGAGAGAGAAGAAAGAAAAGAAAAGCCAGTCCCTTTTCGTTTACTGAGTCATTTATTCAACCTGGAAGTAATTTGTTAGAATTCTGTTGAATTTTAAATATTATTTGTTGTCAAAAGTACATGAGTTGCTAATTTTGTATTTAACTTTTATTCATTGTCCCAACTTTTATTTGTTCATAGAATTGTAAATTTTGACAATATCAATAAAAATGACTACTATACTATTAGCCAAAAGGCAGTGACACATGTTTACAACAACGACGTTGAATTTATCGACATTGATCGATGGGAAAAGGAATATCAATATCACAAAGAACTCACTAAGATTCCCATATTTGCACTTTTCCGGAAATGGAAAGCTTTTAACGTGTGGAAGAAGAATGTCCGCTCTAAGAAAATTGCTGGATGTCGTAAATCTTTACAAAAAAACTTGTTTATTATTAACCCAGTATGTATTTATTAGTCATACTTTAAAAGAATTACAGAAAAAGAGTGACTATCACAGATGTCGGTATAGGGTATTCCTGAGAGAATATTTTATGATTGAAGGAATTCACAATTTTCATCATTCACTGTCATTTAGAAATCTAGCAGTATTGTGGTATTTCTGCTTTCAAGTAACAGCTGAACAATACGAAAAGGTGTAAGAGGGTTGCATGTGCCACTTTTGATTAGAAGCACCTTCCTTTGTTGTTGACCAGGAAAGCTGTATATCCTTTTGAGCATGGTGGGACCGCAACTCTATAACCTCCCTCACCTTTTAGACACTCAGAATTTTAGTTCAAAATAATTTGGGGCTGCTTTCATGCCAGTGCTTTTCAATATATCCTATGTTCTTTTACCATGGATTCAGACAATAAGGACATTTTTTACATACCTATTCAGTTGATGGAGTGATCATAGGAAAACAATCTGTTCAAGGATTTTTGGATCACATTTAACTCTTATCTATTGGATTTCAACTTTCATTAGAAGTTTTCCACTTGTCCCTTGGAAGTGAATGGAAGTGATTATTGTTGTCCCACAGGGCGCTCTAGGGCCTTAAGCTACTTCTGTTACATTGAGATATTACTTTGCATCAGAAGCAACAAGTTTGTATTTTATTGGTTGTTTTCTTCACATCAGTCATACAATAAAAGGATATTCACTTACGCTTATTAACAGATTAGTGCAAGACAAAGATATAATTACACTATCTCAGTCATCCATCAGCTCAAGCATCCTCAGATGTGGAAAAACATGCTTTTTTATCTTGACACCAAAACTCAACCCATTGAGCTCTCATTTCGTTACAGATTCATTGATCTTTTAAAACTGTTTTACCATCTTTCATCTTTCACCATGTTTTAGACACTATACATAAATCTGTGACTATAGATGGAAAATAATTCTTCCTAGATCAGTCTTTAAAGTTACTTAACTTGTTCCTCAAATCTTATTCTTTTTTGTGCAATCATTTTCTGTGCACTATCCATATCAGCAATATCTTGTCCATGATGTCTACTCTTACACTTGGTTCCAGCAGATTAGAAAGTCTTTTCTAAGCAAGGATTGACCTAAATAACAGACCCATTATGATGATTTAAACACCTATTACATGACGTACTACAAGTCCTACATTTACATTTAGTTAACTAGAGTTGATGATTCTTCTTCATTAGGTTGAAGGAACAAATATGGAATTGTCCTGGAAATTTTTATGATTTTTTTTTGTCAGACAGGGGGTTTGAACTCTGGGCCTGGACGCTATCCCTCAGCTCTTCAGCTCAAGACTAGCGCACTACCACTTAAGCCACAGCACCATTTCTTTATATAATTGACATGCTATATAATTCACTTACCCAAAGTATATAATTCATTGATTTTTAGTGTATTTAGAGAATACCAATCATCACTACCATCAGAATATATCCATCATTCCAAAACCAAGTTCATCCCCATTAATAGTTATTCTCTATTTACCCTTCCTCCCTGTTTGTCACCTCCACTCAGCTCTAGGCAGTCACTAATCTTTCTGTCTCTATAGATTTGCCTATTCTATTATTTCATATAAATGGAATAATACAACATTTGGTCCTTGACAACTATCATTTAATATAACGTTTTAAAGATTAATCTCTGTTGTTAAATAGCATTTCTCTTTACTAGCAAATTATGTACCTTTGTGTTGGTTATACCAGTTTTAGTTATCTTGCCATCTATTGACAGATATTTGGGTTATTTATACTTTTGACAATTATGAATAATGTTGTTATGAACAATTATGCACAAGTCTTGGTGTGAACATATGTTCCCGTTTTTCTTGGGCATATCCCTAGAGATGGGATTGCTGCATCATTAGGAAAATTATGTTTATTATTTTAAGGAAACAAAGGAGTTTTCTAAAGCAATTGTTTCCCCACTGAAATTTTAAAGTTAAGTTTTGCTTTGCTCTGTATCATAACTTCTTAGAATAGTTGCTCTTTCCTCCTGTGATTGTGTTGGATATTGCCAAGTCCTTAAAGTAACACCAAGAACATTAATAAATCAAATGAAATTTAAAATATTGCTCAGTTTTCTATCACTTGCCCTCAATTTCATCCTGAAAACACCTGAAAGACAGCATGTGTGAGTGCCTCCCACCTATAATCCTACTCAGGAAGCTAAGATCTGAGTATTGCTACTGAAAGCCAGCCCTGGCAAGGAAGTCCGTGAGACTCTTATCTCCAATTAACCAGCAAAAAGCTGAAGTGGAACTGTGGTTTAAGTGGCAGGGCACCAGACTTGAGCAAAAGTGCTAAGAGACCATCCAGACCCTGAATTCAAGACACACACACACACACACACACACACCCTTGAGAGACATGTTTAGCTTTTTGAAGTAAAAACTTAATCTTATAATTCAAAGACTTAATTTTTAAGTTTGAAAAGTGTTCCTACTTGAAGTGTGCATTTTATAGCTGTAGTTCATGTTAACATACACACCTGGTAATTAAACTATTAAATGCTTGTATACCTTTAAAGCAAGATACTTTTTACTAATGATAAATTCTTATTTTTCACTTAGTTTTTGAGACCAGCTCTTCTTAAAATAAATGAATTATGCTATCAATTGAGCTTTATGGGACTTTGTTATATTGAAAAAGGTCATACCTACACATTGCAGGAATTTAAGGCTGCACAAATTTTACGACTAGGAGAGGTAAGGTCGTAGAAGGCTTAAGATATTTGTTTCATTTATGGATACTTTGATATCGCTAATTATCCCTATTCATCAATGTCTAGGTGACAGAGCGCCTTGAAGAATTTAGAAATGAGACCAAAGATGTGGTCAGGAAGGCTTGTCGATTGGCTTTGCGTGCTGTAGGATTTATTCCTGATGACTGTGTGTTTGATCCCCAAGAGGGTATGAAAGGCAAAAAACACCCTGGATATATAAAAAGTAGCAGCTCTCTTTTAAATTCTTTCCCTCTTTCTTTGTCTTGCTCTTTTTTCTCTTCCCTTCCTTCCTGCTCCTTCCTTCCTTCCTCTTTCATTTTTTGTTTCATTTTTGTTTTTTATATAAGTCTCACACTGTAGCCAAGGCTAGTTTCAAACTCACAATCCTCCTGCATCTGGGTTCCAAGCACTGGAATTAGAGGCATGTACAACCATACTCAGCTACTTCTATCCATTTCAGTGGTTCCAAACTTCTCCTTGATATGTTATCAAGTCGGTGTATTTTGTGGAAGGTGAGGAATATAGTAAATACCACCTATTTTCCCTGAATTTTTTCCTACTGTGCATAGCATTCCTAAACTGGACACCAAATCTTAAACATTCTATGGTAACTTGAGGCCTTGCTGCTTAAAAGTCCAATTTAGTACAGACAATAGGTTTGTTCAAATGAAGGGACTAGCTGGATGTTAGAATTAGCCCAGCTGGCATGAGAGTGATTCAAAAGCAGATGGAGAGTAGGATAAAAGTATCCCTGAGAAATAGCTAGTAAGGTTTGCAGATCAACTCCTGCTAACAAGAATGCTAGTGAACTTACTGTGCCTGTTCTTGAGGTGAAATCCATTGGTGTGAAATTCTTTCAGATAACCAGGATACTGTTTTTTCTCCCTTGGGTTTGACTTGTTTCATTAATCAAAGTATTTTGTTGCTTTCGAATTTTTTATTAGCTTTTTCTTTGAATCCATATGGAAAGAAATGGAATCTTGACGCAAGAATTCTTGTTGTGCTTTGTATTGTTAGAGTATTTAAAAACAAATGGAGCCGGTGTTACTGAACTGACGTTTGACTTTCCCACTTACGGAGACTCTGAAAAAATGACGTACACGGAACAAGCCAGCAAAAGGCATCATTGCACAAGACTGACATGGTAAATGGTTATATTTTTTCTCTCGAGAAAAATTACAGTATCCCTCCTCATCTCATTAAAAATCCCTGGCCATATGTGGAGGTATATACCTGCGGTCCCAGCATTGGGGAGGCAGAGGCAGGAGGGTCATGAATTTGAGGCCAACCAGGGCAAAGTCAGTGAAACCCCATCTCAGAAGCAAAAGACAAAAACAAAAGGGCTAGAGTGTGGCTCAAAAGGCAGAGAACTTTCCCAAGAAACTCAAGTCCCTGGGTTCAATTCCTAGTACCACAAAACCAAGCAACCAACCATGGATGAGAAAGTATATGTTGGGTTGTATGGCTGGAGTAATTATTTTACTCTACATACTTAAATGTATACAATTTTTTTGGGAGGGGGGGCTGAACTCTGGGCCTGGGCGCTGTCCCTCAGCTCTTCAGCTCAAGGCTAGAGCTCTACCACTTGAGCCACAGCGCCACTTCCGGCTTTTTTCTTTTTGCTCATGTAGTGCTGAGGAATTGAACCCAGGGCCTCATGCATGCAAGGCAAGCACTTTACCACTGAGCCACCTTCCCAGCCCCAATGTATACAATTTTTCTAAAGGCTTAGGAAATAAGTGATGTCACATTTTTAAAAAAAGCCTTCAGAACAGGGTTCACTAGTACTGCTGGGAATTGGGGGATGTGGTGATCTGAATATGTGTCCCAGAAGCCTAGACTCTGCTGTCACCTAATAAAGCTGCTTCTGAAACAGGCAGTTTGGCAGAGACTGGAGTGTGAGTACAAGGCCAAGAGGTCTTTATTGATCTCTTAGGCTTTGTATTGCCCTGACCTAGAATGAAGCATGGAACCCAGTAGAGCAGACTATGCCAAGGAGAAGTCAGGCGCACAGGGGTTGGAGGACCTCAAGCAAGCCAGGAGAGTCTCCTCTAACCTATCTGCCAGTAAAGAACCAGCCACATCTTATCCCTAGGAAAGGTTTTACAGCTGCAAGGCAGTGAGAGAATTCTTCCTGCTGGGACCCCACCTGGGCCTAGACTCTCCCATATCTGCATTAATTCTGCCACTGGCTTACACAAATTCATCTTGATTTCAAATGACTGAAAGTTTGGATTTTTTAAAAACTTCACAATTGCAATTTGTGCCATGTGGTTTCTGGTTTTTAATAAAACTTTCCAATGTGGAAAAATCTCTGGTTTAAATCATTCTTAGGGAAAACATTTAAATAGATCAAAGAGACATAGAGATAAAGTAAATAAAATGACATAATAGACTACAGTATTTTCTTTTTCGCTAATCAATATGTCATTTCAAAAGTATTTTTGTAAAACCAAGTTATTGCTATTGTCTAAGAAGGAAAAGAATTCAAAATACATAGACATGCATAAATTGCTATGATAAATAAATCATTCAGGTTTTTTAAATTCGTCAATTTTTGATTGGGGTTTTTTTTCATTGAAATTTAATTAATTGCATAGACACATTTTACCTTTAAATAATAAAATAATTTTCAATTCATCAATAATTTCAATTCATTATTAAAAATAGATAAATAACTAAAAACTTCGTGATTAGAAATAAAACTTACAAAGAAAATAGCCAAAAATTCTCTAAAAATTATGAAGCTATACATCATAAATATTTAGTCAGTGCTTATTAATTTAATCGAACATATAAAATTTACTAATAAATCTTAACCACGTATACATGAAATGTCTGTGTAGCAACAAAGTCAATGAGGCACAATCCAAGGTCACCATCCAGGCCTCTGACATGCTAGAAACTCTGGAGACCTGGAGCACCATTCAAACACAATAGTTACTCTACCCTTGTTTTTTATTTAGATTTGTCATTTAGGGTTTTGTTGTTGTTTTGCCAATCCTCAGACTTAAACTCAGGGCTTGGGCAATGTCCCTGTGCCTCTCTGCTCAAGGCTAGTGTTCTACTGTCCCTCAGCTCTTCAGCTCAAGGCTAGCACTCTACCACTTGAGCCACAGCACCACTTTCATCTTTTTTGAGTAGTTTATTGGAAATAAGAGTCTCATAGACTTTGTTGCCCAGGCTGGCTTCAAACCACGATCCTCAGATCTCAGCCTCCTGAGTAGCTAGGATTACAGACGTGAGCCACCAAAGGCCAGCTCAAGGGTTTCTTTTTGTGATAACTTCAAACACACTGGCTCAACCATAACTACCCTGCGCATCAAATAGCCTCTGTAAGAGTTAGAACACCTAACTAAATTGGTGCTCTATTTTTGAATATGTTTATTTTAAAGGGAGGAATGTCTTAGAACAGCTTTCCTGGCTATTAAATATGAGATTATAATTAAATTTAAAAAATCAGAGAAATTGGGGCTGGGAAGGTGGCTCAGTGGTAGAGCACTTGCCTTGCATGCCTGAGGCCCTGGGTTCGACTCCTCAGCACCACATAAGCAAAAAGAAAAAAGCCGGAAGTGGCGCTGTGGCTCAAGTGGTAGAGTGCTAGCCTTGAGCTGAAGAGCTGAGGGACAGCGCCCAGGCCCAGAGTTCAGGCCCCACGACTGGACCCCCCCCAAAAAAAAATAAATAAAAAATCAGAGAAATTATATTTTGAGTTGTAAGTACTTGCTTTAGAATCATTGTCAAAAATGAGCAGTGAAGATAGAAAACTGACACTGTTTGTCTTTTCTTTTTCAAGTTTTATCCGTCTGAATGACTATCTCATTGAGAATACTCTGCACGTCCTAACAGTTAATTCCGCTAACTCTCTTCTGAACTATCTCACTGACAAACTAAAACGAACGCCTTCAGCAGAAGTCATTGAGAAATGGATTACTGAAGAGAAAGTTGAAGTCACTGACAAAAAGGTATAGCTAAACAAAATTAAAGCCATTAATCAGTGTTGAAGGAGGAGCACTCACTCTCTATCATGCTATTTGCTCTGTACAGGTAATCTAAAGGCATTTTAATTTGAATATATTTCTAGATAACATTAGTTATCACTAAGTAATCAACATCGTTTATATTTAAGTACTATCAACTTTCTATCTGCTGTATATGACTGTTTTCTCAATTGTTTCTTTTTCCATTTTGTTGACAGTGTTTTTAAAAGGCATTTTACATTATAATGTTGTCCTTGTTATTATTATGATTTTATTGCCTTTAAATAGCTGTACAAAGGGGGTTTAATTCAACATATCAATTTATAAGTATAATGCATCATGGTCAATGTGACCCCTTTCATCATAACTTCCAGATCTCCCCCAATCCCACCCATTCCCATTCACTTCCTTCTTCATTCTTCTAATTTCCCCCTGACCTCAACCCACACCACACATACACCTCAAGTACCAACTTCCTAGTATTCATTTTGTTAGACTGTATGTTAGTTGTTCAAAGAAGCTACACCATTGGAATTCTCCCTTGCATATTCTCTACTTTGGTTAATACATTGGTGTAAACATGCCTATAACCCTGTATATGTTTACATATATATTTATAAATTAGATCTAACTTTCTCATATGAGAAAATATGTCTTTTGGCTTTCTGGGCTGCATTTGCCCTTTTTTTTTTCTTTCTATGGTATTGTTCATTGACAGTCCTTCTGCATGCTATGATTATAAAATCAGCAATTACATAAATTTAAGTCTATATATCCTTGGGGGTTTTTGTTTGTTTGTTTTTTGTTGGTTGTGGGGCTTGGACTCAAGGCCTGGGCATTGTCCCTGAGCCTGCCTTTGCTCAAGGCTAGTACTCTATCATCTGAGCCACAGCACTACTTCTGTTTTTCAAGTGGTAATTAAAGAGTCCTATAGGGACTTTTCTGCTCAGGCTGGCTTTGAACTGTGATCCTCCGATCTCAACTTCCTGAGGGGCTAGTATTACAGGCGTGAGCCACCACTGCCCAGCTATATCTTTTTTTCCACCTTGGTACTTGTAACTTTATAACAATGCACATGTGCTCCTTCTAGGCGGCCCCTGGGATAGAAAAGCAGGAAGAAGACGAGTCTCTCATCCCCATGTTCCTCACAGAACTGATTCTGACAATAGAGTCGCTAGTTTTTGAGCCTTGTTTGCAAGACTTCCTGGTATGTGCTTCTTCATTAATATCTGCCAATAGCATCTTCATAAAAAGAAAGTGACTGCTTTACTTTTGGGTGGGTGGCAGGACTAGCAGTTGCCAAGTCTCCAAAGTGGTCATAAGAAAGAGAGAAAGCATTTCTTCTGCCCCAGAACTACCTCTCTATACAAAGAAAAAGTGTAACATGTTTTCTTTAACTCAAGGCCAATCCGAGGCTTGGTAAGGACCACCCTCAAGAGGCATATTCTACATGAACTTTAGAGTTGACTATAAGCATCCCTAAATAGAATCTAAAAATGACACTGTTATAAACACCACTTCTGAAATATATTTAGAAGTGTGCTGCCTCTGGGAGAATTTTATAGTTTTAATTATTTGTTACTCTGTAACAAACCACCACAAACTTGATAACTAAAAAGGTCCATCATGTTTCCTTTTGGTCTCATTTTAGAATAAATGATATGCCATATATACATAACTTACAATGAAATTATTTACATGAATAAATAAGGATTAAATTCAGATAATATATATTAGTTCTCTCTTTAATACATTTTTATGTAAAAATACTGTACAGAGGGGTTACAGTTACATGAGCAAGGTAGTGAGTACATTTCCTATCAAGCATTGTTGCCTCCTCCTTTGTTTTTCCCCTACCACAACTAAACTACTCCCCGCTCCCCGCCCCTGCCTAAATTGTAAAGTTCGTTTTTCCACATAGTGTCTTGTACATCTCTTTGTTACAATGGATCAACCTGTATTCCTATTTAAGCATTTTGTTTTTTCCCTTCCCCTCCCCAAATTAGAGGAGTATATATACAAGATGCAGGGCACTGACATCAAATACAGTAAAAGCAGGGGTTATACCGTGGGGAGGAACACACAAAGAAAAAAAATCACATGGTACATTATAAATATGTTAGAAACAATAGCAAGAAAGAAAAAAACCACTTGTGTCCCTATCTTGGGGTTCATTTTGCTTAACATCATCTTATCTGGTCATATGTACAAAGCTTTTGACCTTTTCTGCTTGCCTTAGACATATACTAGTTATTGCAAATAAGGGGAACCATGGGACCTATGTTTCTTTGGGCCTTGCTTACTTCACTTGTAATTTTTTCCAAGTCTTTCCATTTCCTAACAAATGGGGCGATGTCATTCTTTTTGTTCCTCTTTCTCTCACCTATTCCCTCTGTCTCTTCTATTTCTATCTCCTCTCCACTCACTTCCTTCTTTTGGCATTATATCATAAACTTTTTCCATGTCCCATTTTATAGATGGTTGATATTTAACCATAATACTATTTTGGAGCAGGTAGTTATATCTCTAAGTTGTTATTATTGTGAGTGTCTTTAAATATAAATCTTTGAGGAAATGCATCCATATACTCAGAATCAACATAAAACCCGCCCGGTTGAATGAGTTATTCTTTCTGTTCATTTTGCTTTCTTTTTGTGTTGTACTGGCCCTTAATCTAAAGGACTTGTGTTCTTGTTCAGCTTTTTTGCTCATGGCTGGCACTCTACTACTTGAGCCAGACCTCTAGTCTGATATTTTGTTGGTTAATTGAGATGGAGTCTCACTTCTTTTCTCAGGGCTGACTTTGAACCTTGACCCTCTAGGTATCAGCCTTCTAAGTTACTAGGATTATGGGGATAAACCCGCAGTGTTCGGCTGACTCAGTTATTCTTGCTAGGCAAATCTTCTACCATTGAGCTGCATTACCAGCCTAAATATTTTTTTTCTTTTTTCCTTCCTGTTTTCCTTCCTTTGTCTCTTTCTTTTTCTTCCTCATCCTCTTCCTTACTCCTTCCCTCTCTTCCCCCTCTCTCTTTCTTTCTGTCTTTTTCTCTTTCTCTCTTTTTTTCCTGGAAATGCTGGACCTTGAACATGACCAGGCACTTACTAAGCTGGCACTCTACCACTTGAGTCATACCTCCAATCCTGAATGAGTTATTCTTATTCAATTTAGCACTTCAGAAAAGTTAAAAATACTCATCAGTATAATCGTGTATTCACCTTTATATTCATGCTTTTCTTTCTCCTAGGATATTATCTCTAATGCAGTCAACCAGTTTCAGAACACTGTGCTAGCAGTCCCTAACCTCGTTCCTGATTCATATTTTGATGCTTTTACCAGCCCTTACATTAACAACAAACTTGAAGAGAAAACCTGTGGAGCTGGACCAAGTTTATCAGATGTATTGGAAGATGATAAGTATTTTCACACAATTATCTTCCAAATAAAGGTATATTTGTTTTCACTAAAAACCATTTTAAAACTTCAATGTCTAAGAAGTTTAGGGATGTATTTTCTTCTATCATATCTTTGAATGTTATATTTGTGAAAAATAGCACATATAGCAAAATTTGAAGATAATGTAGGTACCTTAAAAATTACCTTGCTAAATAACTAGTATATGTCTGAGACAAGCAGAAATGGTCAGACAGGTTGATGTTAGGCAAAATAAATCCCAAGATAAGGACTCAAATTGTTTTTCTTTCATGCTATTGTTTCTAACATATTTATAAGATGATTTTTAACCCCTGCTTTCACTGTATTTGATGTTGGTATAATTTGTGGAGAGGAAGGGAAAAAACAAGTTGTTTAAATAAGGATACAGGTGGATCCATTGTAACAATGAGATGTATAAGTCGTTACGTCGAAAAACGAACTTTACAACTTTGGCCGGGGGTGGAGGTTGGGGAGTGGGGGTGGGGGGGTGGGAAGGGTGAGAAGGGATGGGAAGGGGAAACAAAGGAGGAGGCAACAATGCTTGATAAGAAATGTACTCATTACCTTGCTCATGTAATTGTAACCCCTCTGTACAGTATTTTCACAATAAAAAAACTTATTAATAAAAAAAATTACCTTGCTAAGCAACAGACAAATTTCTAAGTATTGAATTATCTGGCAAAACAGTTAACTATCGTTAGTGATCGTTTGCATGTGTTTCCAGAGAAGCAGGAGCACAGACTATGTAAAACATTGAAAGACACATGCAGAACAGCGTGCCTTGGCAGTCCATACAATCTTTTTAATTAGAGCCATTTCTTATTAAATATCTTTTATTGAAACATAGTGTCATTATTTGAGACCCATTAGGAAACAAATGTAATAGTATCCATCCATAATATCTTTTTTTATTGTGAAAATACCAGCGCAACGATGTTTATTGCAGCATTATTCACCATAGCTAAGATATGGAACCAACCCAGATGCCCTTCAGTAGATGAATGGATCAAGAATATGTGAGATATATCTATCTATCTATCTATCTATCTATCTATCTATCTATCTATCTATCTATCTATCTATCTATATATGTATAATGGAATTCTATACCTCCATAATCTCTTAAATGCAGTTACTAACTATAACACTTAAAGATTTTTGAAAATGGCATTTCATGTACTAATGCCACATATTTGTTTTGTTTTGTTTCATTTTTGTTTTTGTGCTAGTATTAGGGCTTGAACTCAGGACCTGTACTCTTGCTTAGCTTTACACTTCAAGACTGGAGGTCTTATCACTTGAGCCATACCTCCACTGGAGTTATGATTCTCTTGGATTTGTCTGTCCAGGCTGGCTTTGAACCTTGATCCTCAGATCTCAGCCTCCAGAGTATCTAGGATTAGAGGTGTGAGTCACTGGTGCTCTGTTTCAAATGCCCCAGTTTTAAAGTACAAATACATATTTATGGAGGAGTTCTAATGAGAAGGGAAAGAACGGTAGTATTCTTTGGTGTATTTCTCACTTAGAATTTTGGGTCATTCAGTGTTCTGCCTGAAAAACAAGAGTGTGACCCTCAGCTCACCCCAAATGCCTTTAATCCTTGGTATCCAAGTGCCTTTCTCAATTTCAAGCTTAAAATTTGCTTATTTGGGGGGCTGACAGAGTGACTCAAGTGGAATAGCGCCTACCTAGCAAGTACAAGACCCTGAGTTGAACCCCTAGTATCACAAATAAATAAATAGTCTATTTTTTACTCACAGATAGCCATTATACATACAATTCTATACTATATAGTTTAAAATCTGCACAGTGTTTGAATCTGTTCATCTCATTAAGATATATATATATATATGGTTGCAATTATATAATTTTTAATTATGATTTTCCTTATACTAATCTATGGAGTACAGTTTGACAGTTTGACACATGTACATGGATAATCAAATCAAGGAAGTGAACAACATTTTCATCTCCTTAGACACTTTTAATTTTTTGATTAACATTAAGTTATACATATTTATAAGGTTCAGTGTAGTATTTTAATACATGTATTCAATATATTCTGTTTGGCTTTACAAAATTATTAAGTCAGACTACAGTTTTTATAACTGCTTATGGTAGAATTCTTATTCTCAACATTACTTTAAGTCATCAATTCAGAAGTTATAAGCTTATATAATCTTTCTTGTACTCTTCATAATTTTAATTTTGTAAATTACTTTTACTCTATGTAGGTTCTAATTTCAGATTTTCATTCTAGATCTTTGAGTTTTTTTTCACTAATATTTGTTCCTAGGAGTATATTCCAAATGATTTCATCTACTAAATACCATATCATCTGACTTAATAACAAATACCCAAATACTCCTGTGATTTGTCAATTTTATCCCTCTAGTCAATTGTTTCTTTAAAATAATGACTATTACATTTTAATTAGGAATTATATTTTCAGTTTGGAGGAACCAAACAGAATAACAGTTATCTCAATATGAGTTACTTCACATATCTTCTAAAAATAAGAATGTACCAAAAAAAAGAAACAAAAGCATATGTCCTTCTCAAGAAGTTAATTTTTTTTTTTTGGTTGGAGGGCTTGAACTCAAGGCCTGGGTGCTCTTCCTAAGTAATTTTGTACAAGGCTAGTGCTCTACCTCTTTGAGTCACAGAGCCACTGGAAAATAGAGAATGCTCAGAAGTCAATTTACCTTTTGTATAGAAAATATACACAAATAACAATGAGCTTTTTTTCTTCATGGTCCAGCCACAAACCATTTCAGATAGTGAGATCAGGCCTTTGAACATGTATAAACATATAAAAAAAACAGTTGGATTTTGGGGCTTTTTTGTTTTTTCGGTCATGGGGCTTAAACTCTGGGCTTGGGCACTGTCCCTCAGCTATTCAACTCAAGGCGAGCACTCTACTGCTTGAGCCACAGCTCCACTTCCAGTTTTCTGGTGGTTAATTGGAGATAAAAGTCTCACGAACTTTCCTGCCTGGGCTGGCTTTGAACCGTGATCCTCAGGTCTCAGCCTCCTGAGTAGCTAGGATTACAGGCATGAGCCACCAGTGCCCGGCACAAATAGTTTTTAAAAGTGAGAAGCTGGGGCTGGGAAGGTGGCTCAGTGGTAGAGTGCTAGCCTAGCATGCATGTGGCCTGGGGTTCAATTCCTCAGCACCACATAAGCAGAAAAAGCTGGAAATGGTGCTGTGGCTCAAGTGGTAGAGCGCTAGCCTTGAGCTGAAGAGTTGAGGGACAGATCCCAGGCCCAGAGTTTAGGCCCCAGGACCAAAAAAAAAAAAAAAAAAAAGGGAAGAAGTTAGCAGCAGCAACAGGGCTGAGATTAATCTAAAATCAAAGCCAAAGGTTATTGGTCATACATGTAAGACTATTCTTAATAGATCAGAGAGTGCTAACAAGAAGGGCTTAAAAAGTCAAGCTTTTGGGAGTGGCATTGTGGCTCAAGTGGTAGAGTGCTTGCCTTGAGTTGAAGAGTGCAAGGGACAGTGCCCAACCCCAGAGTTCAAGCCCCATGACCAACCAAAAAAAAAATAGGCAAGCTATTGAAGATGGCATCACATCTAGGAGGAAAACTAAGTTACAAAGAACAAAGAATTGGGTGGTTTAGAAAAATGAAGCAATTGGAAAATCTGTAAGGCTTAATAACAATGATAAATACATATGTATATATACACACACATATATAGGACACCCATTTCTTTCCCTACCACCATAAAACAAAATATAACATAATAAAATAGACTACATTGCTGCAACAGAACAGAATGCCCTTGAACTTTAAACCTAATAAAGCAATTTCATGAATTGAAAATTTTAGAGAGATTAAATATCTCCAAAGTTACCATAAGGAGAAAACAGAAAGTAAAAATTGAAATATCTGATGAATATTCTTCTCTCCTACTCTTTTTTTTTTCTGTCAGTCGTGGGGCTTGAACTCTGGGCCTGAGCACTGTCCCTCAGCTCTTCAGCTCAAGGCAAGCACTCTACCACTTGAGCCACAGCATCACTTCCGGTTTTCTAGTGGTTTATTGGAGATAAGAGTCTCGTAGACTTTCTGGCCTGAGCTGGCTTTGAACCATGATCCTCAGATCTCAGCCTCCTGAATAGCTAGGATTACAGGCATGAGCCACCAGTGCCCGGCCTTTCTCTCCCACTCTGAAAGCAACTTGAAAGCAATACCACATACCAAAATAACTCTACTCAAAGGAGTTATCTGGATATATGGAAGAACATATTAAATCAAAAATTCAAAATAAAAATGGGTAGAAAAGACAAAATCATCTCAGAAATGAAGGATATATAGTTTCCAAGGAAATAAACTCAAATAAAAACTTTATATAAGCACAGAGAAATTATAGGGTAAAAATAGTGATATAGAATAAAGAATGTTAAAACAACCTAGATATTGAAAAATAAGATAAAATAACTCCAGAAGGGGGGAAAACTGGAATTAGAAACAAAGAACAAAATCATGTATATATAATTGAGTCTCTGAAGGAGTAAAACAAAACAAAGATATGGACTAAGCATTTATAACTATAGGCTAAACAAAGAAAATTTGAGTTTATATGTCAAAAGAGCCTACCAAATACCTTCAAAGCTACCAAAGTACCCAGACCTAGATGATTTTTAAAAAATCTATCCTTCAAGCACCAGTGGTTCATGTCTGTAATCCTAGATATTCAGGAAGCTGAGATTGAAGGATCACAGTTCAAAGTAGGTCCAGGCAGGAAAATCATCAGAGTTTGATCACCAATTAACTACCAAAGAAGCTAGAAGTGGTGCTTTGGCTCAAGTGATAGAGCTAGCCTTGAGCAAAAAAGCTCAGGGACAGCTCCCAGGCACTGAGTTTAAGCACCAGGACTAACACCAAAAAGAAACAGCACCAACAAAGAAAAAAAAAAAAACTTTGGTACATCCAACATGGAGGAATATTATACAATTGAACACAAAAATAAGGAAGTGATTTCCATGATATATTGCTAAATGAAAAGGCAGATTACAAAATAATACCTATTATGTGCCACTTTTATATCATAAACCTAGAAAGAGAGAAAGATAAACCAGAAACTAAAGAAACTACATAGAGGACAAGATGGAGGAATGGTGTAGGAAGGATGAGGGTAGTGCATATGGTGTAGGAAAGATTGAGATAGTAACTACTTCCTACTAAATGCTTTAATACAGTTCATAAAAAGTGAACAAAAACAGGGAAAATGCTAAAATAAAGTACAAATGAAAATATATGAAACTTTAATATAATTTAAAGGAACAACATAGCTACACTGAAAGACAGAAGTTAAACCAAGGAACTTCTAAAGCCATAGGCTTCAGGTAATGGTGAACTCAGTTAATAGATTAGTTTTTTGCAGTAATATTGATGTAAGCAATTCTGAACTTTCTTCCTATATGTATGGTAGAGTTGAGAAAAATAACAAATATATTGTATCATGGTATGTAGCTACTCATCTTCAAAGAGAATTATAAGTAAGGAAAAAAGATGTGTAGAATTAAAAGTGCAGATGTGGCTCAAGTGGTACAGCACCAGTCTTGAGTGAAAAAAGCTACATAAGAAAAGGCTGTGAGTTCAATCCCCAGTACTAGCACACAAAAGGAAAGAATCTCACATTATTGTATTGAAAAAGGCTAATTATTTAGCGGTAAAAGTTCTTCCAAATATCTTGGAATAAAATTGTTTATAGAGAGAATGATAGGCAAATATGGTAAATTGTTAAAATTTAGAGAATTTTAATTTTAGGTATGTAAAATTCTGTGACTCAGTTGGTAAAGGACCAGCCAATGAGTGAAAGCATCAGGTTCAGGATTCAAATTCCAGTCTTAAAGAAACAAAAAAAAAGTAATTACCTTAAAGTAACAAATGTTTTAAGTCATATTACATTTCTATCACCTGCATAGTTAGTTACATACATTTCAAAGATATTTTTAAATCAGCAATACAATTGGACATTGTTTTTGTCCTCAATTTTTACTGTAAACAGATAGCAGAAACGTCTCCAAAGACTTCATAGGAGTCATTAAAAGAAAATAAATGAGTAATTAAATATAAACATATGAGATAATGTGTAATGCAATTTCCTACTGCTAGCCTACCATCTGCAAAATGTGATTTTTGAACCGCTTTCCATAGCATAGATATGAAGGGTTTTGTAACACTAGTTGTTTCCTGAGATAAATTGTACATCTATAAGAAGTCTTGATAAGAAATAGGAAAAATTAAAATTAAAACTGTTATTGTATAAGGTGCTGTCTGTGGGTCATGGGCCAAGACCAATAGTAAAGAAATCCTTGGGGCTGGGAAGGTGGCTCAGTGGTAGAGTGCTTGCCTTGCATACAAGAGCCCTGGGTTCAATTCCTCAGCGCATAAGCACAAAAAAAAAAAAAGCCGGAAGTGGCACTGTGGCTCAAGTGGTAGAGTGCTAGCCTTGAGCTGAAGAGCTGAGGGACAGCACACAAGCCCAGAGTTCAGTCCCCACAACCAGACCCCCCACTCCCCTCCCCCAAAATAGTTGTTTCAGCATTTTGTTATTTCCCTTTTCCTCCCCAAATTAGAAAAATGTATATACAAGATGCAGGGCACTGGAATCAAATATAGTGACAACAGGGGTTATACCATGGGGGAAGAACAAACAAAAGAAACAAGGATGCAGGTTGACCCATTGTAACAATGAGATGAACAAGACACTAAGTTGAAAACGAACTTTACAACTTGGGTGGAGGAGGGAAGGGATAGTAGGGGAAAACAAAGTGGGGGGAGTAACAATGCTGGGTAGGAAATGTACTCATTACCTTACTCCTGTAATTGTAACCTCTCTCTACAGTATCCTTACAATAAAAAAGAAAGAAAGAAATCCTGCCAGGCACTGGTGGCTCACGCCTGTAATCCTAGCTACTCAGGAATCTGAGATCTTAGGATCTCGGTTCAAACCCAGAACATAAGTTTGGGAGCCTCTTCTCTCCAACTAATCACCAGAAAATGAGAAGTGACACTGTGGCTCAAAGTGGTAGAACACTAGCCTTGAAAAAAAAGAGCTTAGGGGGCTGGGAAGGTGGCTCAGTGGTAGAGTGCTTGCCTTGCATGCCTGAGGCCCTGGTTTTGATTCCTCAGCACCACATAAGCAAAAAGAAAAAAGCCGGAAGTGGCGCTGTGGCTCAAGTGGTAGAGTGCTAGACTTGAGCTGAAGAGCTGAGGGATAGTGCCCAAGCCCAGAGTTCAGGCCCCACAACCGGACCAAAAAGAAAGAAAGAAAGAGCTCAGGGATAGCCCCCAGGCCTTGAATTCAAGTCCCACAACTGACCAAAAGAAAAAAAAGAAAGAAAGAAATCCTAATTGTCATAGACTTAGGATTTATGATTATATACGTTGAACCTGGATGTTAAAAAGACTGCAATTGTAATGATTATGTTGGTTTGAAAAAAATAATTGTATGGAGAAAGAGAGGTTGGAGCCAAGTCCAAAAGAAGTGAGGAAAAGGTTTCTCTTAGGGCAAAGTATGAAGGACATTTCAGAAACTTTCCAGCAAAGGATTTCACAGTAAGATTAAGCAAGCAAATACATTTCTTGCTTAAACTTGTAGACATTTGTCCAAAAACATTTCGATTAAGGCATTAAATTTGTGGTTTAGAAAACAAACAGGCCTTGCCCCTTTGCCATATATTTACTAGTGATATATAAGATCACCACAAAGCAGGAAAAAAATCCACAACTGTGCTTCCTTTTGATCATAAGTCACAATTCTTCAAAAGTCAGATTTGGATATGAATTTTGAAACATTTTTGAGTTTCTTTCTCAATCCATTGACTCTGTGCATTGATGTCAAGGATAATATTTCCTGTGTATCTATCCTTAGCATAAAAAATTATGGATTTTTTGGAGGGGGGTTGTGTGTTCTGTGTGTTCAAGTAAAGTGAATTGAAATCTGCTTAAGAAAGTCATGGTTTTCTTTATCTTTATGCATAAAATTTAGGAAACCATTCATGCAGCATTTGCATCTGCTCGCTTATATGCTTCGACATTTGAAAGGTTCCAGTTATTCTACAAGGAAAATGAAAGTCTTGATTTAGAAGCTCTTAAACTTCAGGAGCCTGGTAACTTTTCCATTTGTCTTTACTAATTGTTTTTATAAAGAGACCAAGGTTTATAATATTTTTGGTTTTTGTTGGGTGGCAGAAAGCATAGTTCAAAAAAGCTCTACTCAAAAGTAAGAATTTAATCACTTCTAGATTGCTTTCCAGAGAATTACTTTCCTCTTTGTATTTGCTTGATAATCTTACTTTATTTCAAGAAACACAGGGAGTACTTTCTCACTAATGGCTTATCTTTTAGTACAAAACTGAACCATTTTTAAGATTTGAATATAGGAAAGAGTTGAAGGTAATATATACACACTTTACCAATTCCTACAACTTTTTTATGACAAGAATTGGAGTTAATTCCTTTTTATTGGGACCATATTTTGAGACCTGGTAGATACCAATCAATAACTCTTAGCCATGAAATTAAACTCAAGGGAAAATTACTTCATTAGTCTTACTGTTTTTGACAAAAGAAAATAGTCTACAATATGTAAATGAAATTTTAGATAAGGAACTTCTCAGATGATTATGGAAATAAAGCATTTGCCAGGTGCCAATAGATCATACTAGTTCACTCCTAGTTACTTAGGAGACTGAAATCTGCGAATCACAGTTAAGACACAGCCTGGGCAGATTAATACTTGATATTCTCCAGTTAACCAGCAAAAAGCTGGAAGTAGAAGTGTGGTTCAGCTGGTAGAGCACCAGCCTTGAGCAATAAAGCTTAGCAAGAGTACAAAGCCTTGAATTCAAGCCTCAGTATTGGAGAAAGATGAAAAACTAAAGCCATAAAGAACATAATTTATATTTATTTATTTATAGCTTTATTTTTATACACAAAATTAATGATGTTGATACCTTGCCTCATGAACTATAACTAATTTCCCTATATTTTTTGGTTTTCTTTCAACCCATAAATTTATGCTGAAATATTTTAAGGTATACATTTTATCTCTAAGTTAAATAATTAAACAATTCTGTGTCTTTAAACACACACACACACACACACACACACATTTTCTTAGCCAGGCACCAGTGGCTTATACCTGTAATCCTAGCTCCTCAGGAGGCTGAGATCTGAGGATTGTGATTTGAAGCCACCCAGGGAAGAGAAGTCTGAGAAACTTTTTTCTGGGGGGAGGGGTCCAGTCGTGGGGCCTGAACTCTGAGCCTGGGCACTGTACCTCAGCTCTTCAGCTCAAGGCTAGCGCTCTACCACTTGAGCCACAATGCTACTTCCGGCTTTTTTCTTTATGTGGTGCTGAGGAATCGAACCCAGGGCCTCATGCATGCAAGGCAAGCGCTCTACCACTGAGCCACCTTCCCAGCCCCCTGAGAAACTCTTGTCTCCAGTAAACTACCAAAAAGCCAGAAATGGAGCTGTGGTTCAAGTGGTAGAATGTTAGCCTTGAGCAAAAAGAGGCTCTGGAGGCTGGGCCACCGGTGGTTCACGCCTGTAATCCTAGCAACTCAGAAGGCTGAGATCTGAGGATCAAGATTCAAAGCCAGTCCAGGCAAGAAAGACCATGAGACTCTTATCTCCAATAAACCACTCAGAAAATGGGAAGTAGTGCTATGGCTCAAGTGGTAGAGCGCTAGCCTTGAGCTGAAGAGCTGAGGGACAGCACCTAGGCACAGAGTTCAAGACCCATGACCAACAAAAATTAAATAAAAAAAGGAAGCTCAGGGACAGTGCCCAGGTCCTGAGTTTAAACTCCAGGACTGGCATAAAAAAAAAATCTGGCCGGGCGCCAATGGCCCACGCCTGTAATCCTAGCTACTTAGGAGGCTGAGATCTGAGGATCACGGTTCAAAGTCAGCCCGGGCAGGAAAGTCCGTGAGACTCTTATCTCCAATAAACCACCAGAAAACAGGAAGTGGCCCTGTAACTCAAGTGGTAGAGAATTAGCCTTGAGCTGAAGAGCTGAGGGACAGTGCCCAGGTCCTGAGTTCAAATTCCAGGACTGGCATTAAAAAAAAAATCCTACAGAACCAAAATAGTAGTATCACATCTCCTTGAAAAGAAGCAGACAACAATTCCTTCCTTTTTATGAGATTATTAAACTAATTTCATATTTAAAGTTTTCCAAGTTAAACAGTTTCAACTAGCTTATCCCAGGATCTAATCCAAGAAGTAAACGTATCTGGCTGCCCTGTCCCTTAACTTTTAAAAGTCAGAAACTGACTGTATTTTTCAAGACACCAAAGTAAGGCTCCACTTTAAAAAAAAAAATGAAACAACCACCACAAAAAAAAAATAGATGAGCCTATTTCTACTATTTTTGGCCACCTTGTTACACTGATACTTAACAGAAGTAAACTGACAGGACATGGGGACATGACACTGCTCATGTTATGTTGCAACATCACAGTGACAATCACATGGGGAGTCTGGCATTTGAAATTGCCCTAATCCAAATAACTCATTGAATCCGCTGTATCTTCTAAATTAGTTAAATTTTTAGAGACCGAGAGGATACAGAAATTTTAAATATAGGCATGAGTCTATATAATTGTATATCCTTAGGTATCTGATCAATGGTACAACAAATGTGTGGCCAAGGATAATCAAGCTTCCACTGGTTCCGAGTGGGTTGGAGAACTGATAAATTGGCAGGAGGAAGGTTATCAAAATACAGCTGCAGCTTATAGCAGATGCACCTTAGTAAATGTCTTGGCTATGATGTAAGGAGCTGGAATAGCAGGGAGATGCTGAGGGTTGAGGGAGGACAATAATTTTAGCTATATTTGAGCCCTTGTGTTTCCAGTTTTTATTGTCAATATCTTCAGTATGATTTACTTTGAAGTATCATGAAGCCCAAGTTCCAGGCAATCTAACTCTAGATTAGAGGCGAGGTCCTCTAAGGCAGTTACAGACATACAGACAGATTGTGAACTCCTTCCACAGCCTTGCCATAAAGTGAATTTCACAATATTGCCGATGGCATATTTTGTTTTCCAATACATATGTTATCTGCACAGTATAGTGTAGCTTAAAAACTACGTATGCACCATAATTTAAATATGCTTCATTGTTTACATATGCAATAATCACTGAGTTGTTAGAACAATGGCACCAGTAGGTTTGCTCAAAGCAAGATTGCTATAGTTTTCAGGTTGCTAAAAACACAATATCCATGAAATGCAATAGTGAAGGTATGCCTGAAGTGATTTTCATCTCTTATCCCTTAATAGGAACTATAAAAAATGTTTACATTGGAAAATATTGTTTTTGTATTTCAAGAAAAAATATTATAAAGCATTCTGAAGTAACATTTCAGAATTATACTTATTTTAAGTATCGATAATATGTGTAAGGCTATTAACATGGTGACTTTTTTTAGTATTTTTATAATAATCTTTGAACATTCAATATGATGTTACTTTATGATTTCTGTGAATCATTTTATGCAGATGTTAAGTTCTTTAGTGAACAACTGGAAAAGTATCACAAACAGCACAAGGATGCACTCGCTCTAAAACCCACCAGAAATGTGGGATTGCTGCTCATTGACACTAAGCAACTAAAAGAAAAGTTAATTCCATCACCTTTGAGATGCTTGGAGGTAACTATGAGCTGAGAAAAGTTATGATCTCAACAATTATTTCAGAAAATTTTCCAATAACAAAAGCAAAGTTACATTGATTTTCTTATTGCACATGATGAAATTAACATAAGAGTACTTGCCATCCCTAATTTTGCGGAAAAGTCCCATATTTTTTTCTACTGAAAATATAGTTAGCTTTTATGTGCATTCCAAGAGAGAACTGCAGGCCTAAGATATTCTTTTGATTCTATCCCTTTTTCCTTTGTTGGATTATTTCAAGACTTTCTCAGAAGAGAGACCACTGTAACCGCTCAGTGTTCTTGTGGTTGATGATAGAATACTGAGATCAAGTTGAAGGGAACATCTGCTTATCTGAAACTGTTCCTAAAGATCTAGAGTTATACTTGTATATTCTCAAGTGCTTCTAGAAAGGTGATATGGAGCAGAGACTGGAGAACTAAAGGGCTAATCCAGGGCTTCTTTTGTCTACATGGTTTTCTTGGAGCATATCTAAAACAGTTTATATGTTGTCTGGCTTCTTTCTTCACTGTAAGGGCAGAGTTGGATAGTTGCAACAGAGATTATGCCTTGAAAGTCTGAAATACTTACTCCCTGATACAAAGAGAAAACCTTTACCACACTGGAATAGATGATAGAAGATAGAACTTCATAGAAATGACTGTGGACTTGATCATTATTATCTGTTCTGTCATTGCTTATTTATCTGAGTATAAGCTTTCTTGTAGCGCTTTGCTTCTTTATCTACTATAAAAGAAAAAATGCACATAATTAGGAAAGATCAATTTCAACACACAGTTTTGAAAACTACTGTATATCAAGCCAAAGAAAGCTAAATTCAGTCTAGCTTAAGAAATCAGAAAGTGTATGGAGTTATACATCTAAAAAGTCCAAAGATCAGGGGGACACCAGGGCAGTAATCTCGTAGCCCAACAATGTCACCAAGGAATCAATATCTTTCATTCTCCTTTTAGAGCTTGTGATGAGTCATCTCCATTCTAAGGGGCCAGCATTTGGTCATGTTTGTGAAATGGTTGTTGAAAATTCCATAGGCTAGGATTTTCCACGTTTGTGTACAAAGTGGAAGGACAGAAAGGGTCCTTTTGGGACAGTGCTGGCCCTAGAGCTTGAACTCAGGGCCTAGGTGCTATCCCTGAACTTTTGCTCTATCACTTGAGCCACAGCTCTACTTCTAGCTGTTTTGGTGGTTTATTGGATATAAGAGTCTCACAGACTTCCCTGCCTGGGCTGGCTTTGAACTGCAATCCTCAGATCTCAGCCTCCTGAGTATCTAGGATGATAGGCATGAGCCACCAGTGCCCAGCTATTACTCTGTTTTTAATCTAAGACCAGTGTCTGTCCCTGTAAAGGACGGCAAAGATATAATGACGTGTAATAAATCTCTGTCCTTTGCCCTGTCTTTTGGCTTGGAGAGTCTAAAACCTTACTCTCAATATGGATCAATCCCCCTCAATCACATGCTTTCCACTCACCAGGAAAGGAATGGGATTGATGCCTGGGAGGGCAGTACAATGTCCACTACATAGGACAAAGAAGCAGAAACCATATTCACAAGGAATCAGGGATTTCGATAAACTGTTTAAGATCATTTCCTTTTTGGTTTGTATGACTAGCAGTGGTTTAATGAGAAAATTCCCTTCGTATACACTACTGCTTCCAACACCACTGACCTAACAGATGTCCAGTGAGGGAAATCAATGTTTTAAACCCCACACCCAGACTCCTGGAGTTCCATTTGTCACATACAGCCCCACACCCTTACATGTCAAATAAAGAGGCATGATGAAGGGCTGAGAAAGGAGATTTATTTATTTATTTTTTTTGGGTCCGGTCGTGGGGCCTGAACTCTGGGCCTGGGCGCTGACCCTCAGCTCTTCAGCTCAAGGCTAGCACTATACCACTTGAGCCACAGCGCCACTTCCGGCTTTTTTCTTATGTGGTGCTGAGGAATCGAACCCAGGGCCTCAAGCATGCAAGGCAAGTGCTCTACCACTGAGCCACCTTCCCAGCCCGAAAGGAGATTTATTACACAGCACAAATACCACTGGAAGATAGCCCTTCAGCCCATCTTCAGCCATCTGTGGGGGTACAAACATGAGTATTTTAAATAGCCAAAGGACCAGTGGCAGGGAGGGGAAGGACTACATAATTACAATATTTCCAGTCTCAGGCATGTGTAGAGGTAGTCAGGGGTGACCAGAAGTGGAAAAGAAGTGGTCTGACAGTCCACTTTGAAGTCTTTTTTTTTTTTATTAAAGAGTCATTGATAACCTGGTGAGTGGGTCCACAACTTCATGGCTTCCCAAGTTGGTTGCCAAGTGATTCCAGGATGGAATGTCTCAGAACAAAGGACATAAAATTGAGGCTGAAATCCCCAGCTTTTATCCTGTTTGGTTCATTTATGAGCCCAGGTGAGATGAAGTTGTTTCTCATCCAAAGCAGCTCATAAACACCTCTTACATCAGGACTTATATAAAATACATATTGAAATAACAAATATTCAAGTATTTGTGACTCATGTTTTCTCTTTCTTAGGTGTTAAATTTAATGCTTCCTCGTTTAAGCAAGAAAAAAGTAGATGCCATCATCTCTGAGGCACAAGATGCAGAATACAAACTTCAATTTATGCCAAGTACTACCATAGAATATGTTAACAGCTTAGTGTTTCTTGATGAAATTCAGGAGCGGGTGAGTAGATTAGCTCATATAACTCAGTATTCCAGACCTTACAGTTGGAAAAAAACATATGATAAGAAAAAGGGGCTAAGGGTCATAATAAAGCTGTCAAAATGTCAATAACTCTTTTAGACAAAGTAAATGGATGCCTTATATCATAGCAATTATCCCAGTCAACATTAATGAATTTCCCCCTACTTGTCAGGCACTCCATTCATAATCCTTAGAAAAGCACAAGAAGAATGGATAATTTTTAGTCTTCATTCTGCAGATGAGAAAATGGGAAACAAAATAGGTTATATTGTTCAAAGTCACAGAATTTGTATGAGTTAAAGCTGGAATTTAAATTTGGGTCTCTGAACAAAAATGAGTATTGTTAACCATAGTTTTTTGTAATTCTGATTTTCAGTGAATGATAATTGAAAGGTAATCCAGACACTACTCATAGAGGAAGTCTTAACCCTTAATCTATTTTTGCATACTAGTCCATAACCTTTCTGTTAAGAATGAAAGAAACCTAACTCATAGCAGCTTAAGTGGGAAGGTGGAGTGTGGAGTAAAAAGTAGATAACATACTCAAAAGATGCAAATGAAAAGATTAGTTCTTTCTGTATCTCAATCACACATACACACACACACACACACACACACACACACACACACAATATGTCAAAGATAATTAGGTTTGGGGACTATCTAGATCCAGGATGCAACAACTATAGGAATACCAGGGAGTCTTCTTCCTGATTCTTCTTCTCTGACTTCTCTCTCCTCTCTGCAAACTAGAAGCTGTTTCTAAATGCTTCCGTAGGAAATATGGCTACCCACAGCTCCAGCCACTAAGAAAGAGAAAGATCTCTTATTCATTCTAAATATCTGGCAGGTGGATTCTGGACCTTCCTTCAGTTTTACAAACTGTCAGGAAGGGAGAATGACATATCACTCAATGGCTGCAGAAGACAACTGCTATAACTGGGTGGTAGCAGAACGCTACGCCATTCAGAAAAGCCACCCTATGTGTGCTCATCTCCAAGAAGTAATCTGCACTATCTGGATATTATGCTGAAAAAGCAGTTCCTCATACTCTACAAGAGATACCTTTTTCTGGAACCTCATCCATTAAATCAGCAAATTCACTGACCACCACTTACTATAGTGCAAGAATTACAGTAAATAAACCTGCTTTCAAGGAATTGAGTGTAGAACAAAAGCAATTTTGAAATAATGAGTCCAGACACAAGATACTATGATAGGGATAGGAAGTCTGTGGTCACTTTTGCCTACAGGTACAGAAGAGTTTGTGGAGGATCAGACATTTAAATGGTGTCCTAAGGCATACCAAGCATTCTGGTAAGCATTCCTAAGAGAAAGAAAATGAACAAAGACATGAGGTAAGATGACAATAGCAGGATTTGGTAATTGATATGCTATGAAGAAAGAGTATTTTCTGATTAAGGCAATATTTTCAATTTTTTAATTTGTGTATATGGACTTGTACAGAGTAAGAGGTTCCATATAGGCAATACAATGTACTTAATTATTTTTATACTCTCTATTGCTCTTTCTTTTTTTGGGGGGGGGTCCGGTCATGGGGCCTGAACTCTGGGCCTGGGCGCTGTCCCTCAGCTCTTCAGCTCAAGGCTAGCACTCTACCACTTGAGCCACAGCGCCACTTCTGGCTTTTTTCTGTTTGCTTATGTGGTGCTGAGGAATCGAACCCAGGGTTTTGAGCATGCAAGGCAAGCGCTCTACCACTGAGCCACCTTCCCAGCCCCTCTATTGTTCTTTCTTATTTCCCCTTCCTTCCTCTCCCTTTATCTTCCTCTTCCACCTCCTTACAAGGCCTCTTTTACTTTCATGACCTTGGTTGTTTTATTCTTTTGCTTTGTTTGCCCTAGCTTGTGCAAATGCAAAAAAAGAACACTATAGTTACATTTTACACTATCATTACATTTATTGTTTAGAAAATGACATAATTTCATTCCTTATGGCTGTTTAAAATCCCTATTCTTTTCTTTGCCAGTAAAGTGCATTTCTTTGTATGTGTGTGTGTAGCACCACCCACAGCAGAGATGCCTTGTAATTAGTATTTATTTTTACCTACACGTTTCTACTCAACTCCCTTTAGTTTGATACCATTTTTGTGCCCAGTGTGTACGAAGTATTTTTCTGTATTGGAAGATATCTGCAGAAAGCATATCCTGTTCTCTGTAAGTAAAAAATCTAGAAAGGTAGTGAGATACATAGTAGGCTAATTATACAAGATTTCAGGGCAGGCCAAGAAGATTGTTAGGAAGTACACAGGCAAAGAGTAGTGTAAAATGTTAACTTGGACTTTGAGTACAGTGATACAGGAAAGGGCTTATATAGGTAGGGTCATGTGAAAGTTGTGGAAGTGGAGCACATAAACTAGGTACGAGGACCTCTAGGAATAGGGACCAGTAAATTCTGAACCTTGGAGGTGCAGAGCAGCAGTGCTGGATGGAGGGAGGAGCATAAGAACGAATCCTACTTTGGTGTTTGTATGTAAACTAACTTATTGATGGCACAAAGTGTCTAAGAGGAGTGTGTGAACCCTCACCACCAACAGAGGCAGCTGCCCATCCCAGCCCCATGTGTGTGCTGGAGTGGGTGAGGCTACTGAGGGAGGAAGATCTGGAAAGTCAGTCCATGCCTGAGCCAGGGTCACTCTGTAAAGTTACTGTGTAAGAAAGAGTGTGCCTAGACTTGGCACATATGAAACTGCACTTGTTAGGGATGAACTACACGGACAGCCCTTTTGACTTACTTATTTTTGAGTAGGTTCTTGTAGGTTTTCCTGGGCTGTTGACTGTAACCTTGATAGTTATACTTCCCACACAAACTGGAGTGACAGATGTATACTACATCTATCCAATACTGATTGAGATGGGGGATCTTGGTTAACAAATATTTTCCTGAATGGTCTTGAACCATGAGACTCTCGTTTGTCTTTTTTGGTTGTTGTTTTTTATTGTAAAATTAGTGTACAGAGGAGTTACAGTTACATGAGTAAGGTAATGATTACATTGCCTATCAATGCATATCCTGCACAATTAAGAAAATTGGGGGAAGGGTGGAGTTGGGAGGGATAGGAGTGCCACTGATCAAGATACATTGTATTCATTAACTGCTTTGTTGAACAGCAACTCTGCTGTACAACCACTTAAAGATAATAAAATATATTTTTTCAAAGTTGAAATACTCTGATTCTTATATATGTAATGAACATCCCATGTTTCTATTTAGATTGAAAGCCTTGAAGAGGAAGGAAATACAGTGATTCAAATGTATAAGCTTATTGACCAGTATCAAGTGGTCACACCTCCTGAAGACTTTGCTGTTTTTGCAACTATGAAGCCATCCATTGTTGCTGTTCGGAATGCCATTGATAAATCAGTGGGCGACAGAGAAACATGCATTAAACAATTTTGTCAGCATTTGGGTAGAGATCTTGAAGAACTAAACAACGAGGTGAATGAAATAAAACTACAAGCACAGGTAAGCTAAAACAAGATGTTTGCATTTTAATCTGTGCAAAGTATCACTGATATAACATCAAGACAGAATTAGTAAATAAAAATTGGCCATCAACCAAAGATTAATAAAATATATGAAGATAATCCTCCACTTGGAGAACTATAATACAGACATTGGTGACTACAGTATAAATTCACCTTTGTAACATGGAAATATTAAAGTATATAAGATTATGTGCGTAGTATTTGTCAAGCACTGCTCTTAGGATGTGACATTACATTGTATTTTCTCACAGACAAAAATATATGTAAGCATAATACTTATATACCTCCATGAATTACCAGAATTAATACTTCCATGTATCCACTTCTCATGTCAATAGTACTTCCTGATCCTTTCTTCATCTCCAAAGACAACTACTACTTCCAATTCTAATGTCACACATGAGTTTGGGCCTGATTTAGAACTTTAATTAACTAGAATCACATAGTGGCCCCTTTATTTAATTTTGATATATTCCTGATATTCATTCAGGTTGTTATGTGTGTGTTTTATCCATGTTTGTTACTATACTGATTGAGATGGGGTTCATATTTTACATTTTAGTTATCCATTTCATAGTTGGTAGACATTAGGAATATTTAAAGTTTGGGGCAAAAATGAAAAAGAATAATACTTCTAGATGCATTCTTATCTCTGTGTGTGTGTGTGTGTGTGTGTGTGTGTGTGTGTGTGTATTACTCATTTAGTTCTCCAAACACCTATAGGACTTTGTTATTCACATTTTACAGAGAAGGAAATTAATTGATTAATTAATTTATCACACAGATAAATGGTAGAACCAGTATTTAAGTTTACATAGTCTGCTTTCAGTAGCTAATAGTCTACAAGTTAATTTCTATACTTTAACTGTATTGTATATTTATTAGATTATTTGAAAGCATGAATAATTTCCATGATACATTTATATAAAGAGAGATCATTAAAAAAGCAAAATTCTAGCATATTTTTATATGTAATGACACATTTTAAATAGTATGATTCAATCACTGCCCAGCTAGTTCAATCAGTAGAACATAAGACTCTTAAATAGCATGATTTTTTTCTTTCTTTTTTCTTTTCTTTTTTTTTTCTTTTTTTGGCCAGGCCTGGAGCTTGAACTCAGGACCTACGCACTGTCTCTGAGCTTTCACTCAAGGCTAGCACTCAACCACTTGGGCCACGGCTCCACTTCCAGCTTTTTCTGTTTATGTGGTACTGAAGATTCAAACCCAGGGCTTCACACATCTAGGCAAGCACTCTACCACTAAGCCACATTCCCAGCCCAGTAGCATTATTCAAATACACAAAAAATGATAGCATGAGTCTCTCTAACAAGTACTCTTTTTTAAGCTTGGAGACACTCTTTGGAAACAAACTGTTATTTGATTATTTCTATAAATGCTTTCATCTTCCTGTCAAGACCCCCATTCCTGGTGCTTGAGAAAGTATAGAAAGCATGAGGGTGACCATTGATATGATTTATTCCCTTTAGGATGTTTTCCTTTATCCTAACTGGACCTCTTTTGATTAATTCCATTTCAACTCAAAAATCTAAATTCCCTGTGTAACATTGCTTCACCCTTGCTAGCATCCTCTTTTACTTCTTGTATTTCCTGACAGTGGATGGAGGCAGTGAGTTTGCAGTCCACCTGCCAGACCCTAGCAGCTGCCATTGCAGTGTGATTGTGCTGGACCTGCATTTCCCAGGCAGCCGTTACAGCAGGCCATCATCTCCGCCATAGATGTAATCTGCAGCTTTCTCATCCTCATCTCAAACCTTTTCTGGTTCATCAGTTCTCTCAAAAGTTCTCACTATTAAAATCAAGACACACAAGAATGTTAGGACCCCAAAATACCTCATCAAACCAGTGTTTCAATACAGGTATCTTCTGCCTGGACAGTTACTGCTTCCCTATTCTAGAGCATGTCTTCCACTTTGAATGCAGGGCCACATAAAAGAAGAAGTAATAAACTAGATTGATTGGTCTTCCCAAACTGTATCTATAAATCTCAGATGTCTCTAAATTTTCACAGGTTCTCCTAAATCTAGTGAGTTCCTTCTCTTTTGCTCCTAAATTACTCTATTTGCAAAGGAGTTTCATTCAACCCTAAAATATCATCTTGAAAACGTATGTCTTGACATTTATAGTCTTCATTTCTTCTATTCCTCCCTGTAATTTTATATACATGCACTTATTTTATTTTATTTTTTTTTGGGTCCAGTCGTGGGGCCTGAACTCAGGGCTTGGGCGCTGTCCCTCAGCTCTTCAGCTCAAGGCTAGTGCTCTAATACTGAGCCACCTTCCCAGCCCTACATGCATTTATATTTATGGAGTTCCTGGCTCATAACTCCCATAACCCTTAATATTTCCTAAATGGTTCAAACAATAAGGCTAAAGTATTTGGCCTTTTATTCTTGGTTTCTGAATAAACTTTGCTTTAGTGTAAAAAAAGAGAGTCTTTTGTTAAAATGTTAGGGTACTTTAGGCCTCAGAATCCCCAAAGTAGGCCATAGGAATGGAAATTATATTCTTATTTCGCCCCACATTTCTGTCTTAGAGCTGGCATAAAGAAATTTTCTGATAGTAGATCGTAAGACTCCCATTTCAAAAGAGATCTTGTCCTGCACCTTGGAGAAAGGAACTATGTACAGAGTTTAGGAAGAATTTGAACAGACCTTGCTGCACTTTTCTGGTAGAACTATTAACATTACATCAGGCCTTTCTTTTGTCTAATCACACTTCAACACAATCAATCATGCCTCAAACATTCTTGTGTAATAGTTTCTATTAAAATCCAAAAGCTTCCAGATAGCTGAACATAATGCAGTTTCCTGGAGGGTGGTTGGGCCTTTGAGCCCCTTTCCTATACCTCACTCAAGTTCTCTTCATCTGCTCTCATTGTAATGTCCTAAATTCTAGAAAATTAATTGAAGGGAAGGCGTCTTTAGAAGCTTGACATGTAGCAGATCACTCCAAGGCATGGATAAGCTAAGCAGAGGATTGTGATTAGCATCTGAAAGTGAGGCAGTCTTGTGACAGAGACCTCAATCTGGGGTATCTCACACTAATTCCAGGTAGATAGTGTTAAAGTTAAACTGAATTTGAAGACATGCAGTTGATTGTTTCCTGTTGTGTGTAGAGAAAAGCCCATGCACAATAATATATACATACCTAGTATTAGAGTATAAGGAGAAGAAACTGAATTTGTTTTTCCTTAATCTCCTTAGATTCTCTCTCAAAATTCAAAAGGTTTTCCATTCCTTTATTGTAAAATGGGATTTTTTTCTCTATCACATCCTTTTCTTTTCCCTATTATATTCATTTCACCTCTCCTTACTTGATGTCTTATTTGTTGAAGATGTATAGGAAGTAAAGAAATGAGGTAGACTATATTAGCTACAATTTATAAACAACTACAGCTGAGAGTGATGGTATATGCTTGTAATCCCAGCACTTGAGAGTCTGAGGCAGAAGGATCACAAGTTTGAAGCCAGACTGGACTAAAAAGCAAGTTCCATGCTTGCCTGGGAACCATAGCAAGACTCCATTTCAAATATACTATTACAACTGTTGCTGCTGCTATTACTACTACTACTACAACTAATAATAATAATAAATAATTATATAAGCCCATGATACATCTTTATACAATTTTCTATTTTTATAATGCTTCAAAATGGAAAGTCACCATTAGCTTCTAAAACCTTTTTTGAAAGTGTTTATTAACCCATCTAATGTATGTGACCTTCACAAACAGTAGGAACGCTTAACTAAACACTATTTTTAATTTTACAGGATCCACAGATTTTGGATATTTCCACGGACCCAGAGAAAATAAAGGTCATGTTGAGTGATCTGCAATATGTTCTGGATGATCTTCAAAAACGTGCCTTTCAATATAAGTCCTATCAAAAGAATTTCAAGGTAATAACAGTTCTAAACATTTGTTCTTTTAGTGTGTGCACAGCAGTGATATTTATTCACAAACCCTTTCAACGGTGTGACTGAATATGCCATGTGCGGGTAAGTGCATAGAATATCAAATCAAAATAAAATATACTCCTGCCTTTTTTTTGGGGGGGGTCCCGTCATGAGGCCTGAACTCTGGGCCTGGGTGCTGTCCCTCAGCTCTTCAGCTCAAGGCTAGCGCTCTACCACTTGAGCCACAGCACCACTTCCGGCTTTTTTCT